TGAGTAGTTAAATTTGGCGCTTGAAAACGATAAAGAACGATAAATATTTTTAACAACTGTAACAATAGCGTCTGTTGCTTGGAGGTACTAATTTTAGCCACGAAAAATATATTACTACAGGATTGGTCGTGAAGATGCTGATGAGATGATTATAAATTATTTATTCTTATGAGTGTCCTAGATTGTAGTCATTCTGTGAATTCTGATTACGACATTGTTTTGTTATTGTTTTCAAATGTTATTTGATAGTTTTAACCGAATATTCACCATGTTTGAAAGTGAACTCCGATTGAACTTTTTTTAACAAACATTTTTTGCAGTAATAATGTTCATTGATGTATGTTATTGCCAAAAATATCATCTTCTAACACGAATAATCCCATTTTCAATAAAGAATATTGGTGTTTACCAGAATACCAAGGCATCCCTGAGAGCATCCCCGTATGGCTTTGCTGGACACACATAAGATTCCGACTCATCATTGCTGGATTCGAACTCACCATTGCTGGATTCAGACTCATCATTGCTGGATTCGAACTCACCATTGCTCGATTCAGACTCATAATTGCTGGATTCGAACTCACCATTGCTGGATTCGAACTCACAATTGCTGGATTCGGACCAACTGAAGCGATGGCTTCATCATATTAAAATTTCACTGGGAAATAAATCCCAAAGTCAATGTTTCCTAGTTTAATTGGTCTTGAACTTTACAAATATTTATTGTATGTAAAGGAATGCATAGCACGGTGCTGGTATGGGCTGATCAATTGAGGTCAAGGCAGCTCATCTTCACACGTACCAAACCTTAAGGGCAACAGGCTCAAGTCACGCACCGTCAATAATACTCACCGGGATTAGAATCAACGTTCCTATGAATTACTTTTGTCGAAAAATCAAGTAAATTTATTAATTTTAACTTTATCTTCTAATAATACTACTGCATAATTTTGAAAAGTTGAAGTCTGTTTTTCAGTACGCACCTAAAATGAATGCAAATTGAAGCCTCACTCTAGCATGTGGACTCATGAAGTTTTTTTAGTAGCTGATTTATAATTTCGATTATGAATGCGGTTGTTAAATTCATTATAGAAGACTGTTGTCGTATTTTTTTGTGACTATTATATACTCGACTGCCATGTACAAATATTGAAATTGTTACAAGCAAATGACGAATTCAGACCAGTACTTTGTGCAGATTTTGATTGATGCAAATGAGGCCACACGTCTTAACAATTGAAAAGAAGGACGGAGAGGCCACATATTGTAACAATTGACAAGAGTAATATATAGTGAGGCCATATGTCTTAACACTTGACAAGAAACACAGAGAGGCCACACATCTTGACAATTGACAAGAGTAATAATAGTGAGGTTAAATGTCTTAACACTTGACAAGAAACACAGAGAGGCCGCACATCTTGACAATTGACAAGAGGAATAGTAAGGCCATATGTCTTAACACTTGACAAGACGGACAGTGATGCCAGTCGCTGAATTCTTTTTCCATAAATTTTTGCAAAGTGTAAAATTCCTAATGTAGTTACGTGTTTTATTTAAAAGTTGTATTAGCAGAGTGATTAAAACTGAATTAAATCAAATAGACTTGATGAAGAGTTTTACCAGGTCAAAATATTTTCCGTGTCTCCATTCATGTTTTTTTCTGATATTCTTTGTTTTGTTAAACGTTTGAGGTCGAGATATATTATAAAAAATAAGTCTACGATAACTTTTTGCCGTATTTAAGTATCTCTAGGATATGTTCACCTTAATTTACAGTTGCGTTTCATCCAATGCTTGAGAAGAATATTTTTGCGCAAAAAATCGTAAAAGTTTTACTTACCGAAAAATATTTATCCTAATGAATGTTTCTTAGGTCCCGGTTCATCCATTAAGACGCCTATCATGTGTACTTTTCGTTGTATATACTGCCACTAAAAATCGTTTAGAAATAAATTATAGCTATTTTTTAAATAATTCCAACAACAATAGATCAATTGTAATTAATAATTCAAATTAATAATTACAACTCTGATTTAAATAATTCCATTTCAATCAAAACAATGATTTATTTTCCAGCAATGAAAATATATTTCATAGAGGATTCATCCTAGTACTACCAAAGTTTAGGTTCTAAGTGCCATCTAGAAAAAAAGTAATTAATCCTGCTATTTCCATAACAACTTATGAAAACGACCACAATAAGGCTGCTTTTGAACGTCTTGTTGTGTCAGACGCGGGATTTACAGCGCCGTAACTCATGGAAGAGTCGTAAATAAATTCATTATTTGTAACAATTTTGAGAATTCTTCACGAATCGCGGCACGGGAGCGTTCATGATAAATGAAATCCTGCTAATTATGTACAGTATATACCGATATTGCCACCTTGCGTAAGCAACATAGCGATATACAGTATGCAATAGTATTCAATGTGCAACAGTAAAAGTATACTATACTTACACGCTAGCTGTTATGGGTAAACTGAAAAGGAATAATCAATCTCTTCAGACAAGTATTTTTCATCATCTTCATCAGAATCAAATATTCACACCAAATAAGAAAATCCTATTGACAACATTCATTTTGCGGTTTTACAAAAATTTTCTGTTGTTTGAATGTCATGACGTAATGACGATGGAACTAGGAACATCAAATCGTCAATATTTTGTTTTTCTTCTCCTCATTTTTAATTAGAAGAACTTTATCTACTTCAGTCATTATTGTTATTCAATTTCTGTCCTAATTTTTTCTGTCTTAATTTTGCTAAGCAATAAGATCTGTAAATCTAAGTCTGCACAATCGTTAAAGTCAGTAAATATTAAGTCTGCACAAACGTTAATGTCTGTAAATTTTAAGTTTGGACAAACGATTAGATCTAATAATCCTATGTCTGCACAAACGGTAAGGTGTGTAAATCCCAAGTCCGTACAAACGATTAGGTCTAAAAACTTTAGGTCTGCACAAACTATAAGGTCTGTAAATCCTACGTCCGTAGAAATGATTAGATCTAAAAATTTTAAATCTACAAAAACGATAAGGTCTGTAAATGCTAAGTCCTTACAAACGATAAGGTTTGTAAAAAATCCCAAGCCCGTACAAACGATAAGGTCTGTAAACGCTAAGTCCGTTCAAACGATTAGATCTAGAAGTCCTAAATCCGTTCAAACGATTAGGTCTGTAAATGCTAAGGCCGTAAAAACAATTGGATCAAGAAATCCTAAGTCCGTACAAATGATAAGGTCTGTAAATGCTAATTCCGTACAAACGATAAGGTCTGTAAATGCTAAGTCCTTACAAACGATTAAATCTAAAAATCCTGAGTCCGTGCAAGTGATAAGGTCTGTAAATGCTAAGTCAGCACAAACGATAAGGTCTGCAAATGTTAAGTCCTTACAAACGATTAGATCTAAAAATCCTAAGTCCGTGCAAGTGATAAGGTCTGTAAATGCTAATTCCGCACCAACGATAAAGTTTGTCACGCACTCGGTGCTATAACTGTCAGAGGTCGTGTGATTTCTTGCCATCAAAGTGGAGTGCAAAGACCGGACTTCAGTTCAAGGAAATCGTTGCAGAGTTCGTCTTGCAGGCTCAAATTTTTATTATTGTATTCATTTATGCTGTGGCCTTGAAAATTGTTCAGGGTGTTAATGTTTATATGAGTATACTTGTTGCAATAATAGGGTGTGTTCGTTATCGATGCTAATCTAAAGTGTGCATATTTGTTAAAAGTGCAGCGACTTATTAATTTGTTAATTAATTACGAAAAGTTAGTCGCTAATGCTGATCAACCGGCACTATCTCTATCGACCGCATCGTTGTGTTTGTTGTTGGTATAGTGAACTTTGTTTTTGCATATTAAGTTATTTGTACGAGCGCTGCGTTCCAATGTTTGTTCTTTTCAAAGTGATTACATTCTGTCCTTAATGATCAGATGATATTTTTTGGTGACATGATGTTGACATATTTTGTGTCAGTCTGAAAAGTCCGAAAAATGTTTGTGTGAAGTTTGCAATGGCTTTCGTTAGTTGATGTTTAGATCTATTGTTGTTATGATGAATACTAATCACAATGAGTGTTGGTATGATGAGACCTGGTCACATTTGTGCGAGACGATAACACACGACGCAATTCTCTACATTTACAATGTGTACATTGATAAATTTAACTCCACGACAAAGATTTATCATTTGATTTTTTTTAGATTTAGTCATTTACCCACAACCTACAAACAGGTCGGTAATAACCCTTTGCAATCAATCAAAAATCAACTAAATCAAAGAAAATATTAATTTGCAGAAAACTTAATAGTAAATCGATCAACCAACATGAAAAGCAAGTGTAGATGATATGAAGATCGACTGTAAATATACAGCGATATTATACGTGGAAACGTTTTGCATGTCCAAGATGATTTTCCGAAAAATATAAAACATTCTAGTGATTCGGTGCCCCGGTATTGAAGTTGATTGGCGACAGAAAAATAGAACTGGAATCCTGAATCTAACTGGAATCAGTTAGAAAAATGTTCATGTTTCCTCGAAAATCGGTATTTTTATAAGTCAACATTTTTAGGTGAAACATTTGACTTGAATTCGAAACCCACAAACTGTTGGCAAGCCGAGGCTGAACTGATGTGTGTTGTGTTGCATTTTGATCAGTGGCAGATATTAATCAAATGAGCTTAAAATAAAAACTTTATGAAATTGTCCTACCAAAAATAAACACCTGCAAAATTCAGAAAGACTGCTGATGTTATACTGCCTCTTCAGGTTAATTATTGTTCGTCCTTCATCACACGATCAAAACATCAGCATTAAAACGAGAGACTTCTCTTCATCGAAGCCATTTGAACACAGACTGCCGTTTATTTAAAGGGATCAAACTTGCCTAACCAAACTTTGGTACCTAATTTCTGCGTTTTGTTTGAGTTAAATAAACTTTTCTATTCGCATTTAATCAATCCGCTATCCTCCTTTAGACTTATTCTTCTATTCGTTAAACTTATGATTAAATTTAATTTAGTTTTCACTGCGACGGCCTTGGAGACTCTAATTCTATCTGACCCTGCGACGACCTGATCACTTTTTTGTGTTGTCCTGAGTTATGGGGGAAGTCATGAACCGCTACATCACACTCAATGAACTGGGCAAGGGGACCTACGGCAGCGTCGTTCTCGGCCAGAGGGTTGACACTGGCGAGAAGGTCGCTATCAAAAAGTAAGTCTTCCCTTGAATGACATCGTAATTTACGAATAGGTAACGTGACATTACATACAAATGCGAGCGAATTAGGTATAGAATCAAAATATATATTTTTTCATTGAACTCTTGAGTGCACTAGCGGTCTAATTTGATCATTTTGTCAAGCTCGCACCCGTGACGAGATTTACAGTTTATGAATGGCTGAATACTGATTAGGGAACTTCCTGAAATGTGTGAACATAATGTGTGTAAAATTGACTAGGTATAGCTTCCCATTAAATTTTCATGTTTTGATGAAATTTCTTTCGATTTCAGAATGAACAAAAAATTCTTCACCTGGGATGAAGCGATGAACCTCAGGGAAGTGAAGGTGGGCTAGCCGATTAAATTTTTTTCCAATAACATTTACGATGATAACGATATTCATTAATCACTCGTTACTCTGAGTAAAGTCCAAGCTCAAACATCACCATTTTAATGGCCGCCGGTACTCGAAAAGGAAGTTACGATTGCAGTATCGGTTACATTCAAAAGTTAAGAGAATTCAATACTGAATTCAAACAGCCTGCGAAAATCAGTTTACGAAAACATTCCAAAGAGTCTTTTATTGTATCAGAAGTGTTTTTCTTCGGAACGCTTCCAAGGATATTCTAGTTTCCATGAGTTTCTTTAAATATAATTGGTGATATTATTTCACAGCGAACTTCAACGTTGTAAAAGAAAAATATTCAAGCAAGATTGGTACACAGGTTGAGATTTTTTACTTGTCTTCCGTGTCTACAAAGACTTACTATGTGCAATTAAATAGATTCTGTCCCGGCCTTTTGCTCTGATCTTGGTGGGTTGCGCCTTGAAATTTTCTCGTCAGATCCACGGGAAGATTAAAGCATCTTTGGCTAGGCAAGCCAACCCGTTAATCTGCTGTCACCGCTGCTATTCATCAAGCCTGAGCAGAACGGGGATGTAAACTAAATTATTTTTGTAAACGGAAATTGTTCAAAATGAGGAGGTATTGTTGCTCTTTAATTTTGAATTCAAGATGAGAATTACCACGGTTGGATTTATTGATTTATTGTTCTAGTTCAGCCTTGATTTAATGGTATCCTTGTTTCGTTTGGATTTGGTCATTGATTTATCATAAATTATTTTGAGCGAAAGTAGTTTGTGTTTTTACATTAGCTCATTATAATTTTTTTGATTTTACATATCTAACCAGAGTATGTTGCCTTGAATACGCAGCATCGAATTAACTGCAGCAATACTATTCTCAATCTTTAAATAAAAACAAATACCTCTGCATGTCTCTATTTTTACAATGTTTATACACGTGCGATTGATGACCAGAGAATTAGTTGATTTTTATTATCAGGGAATGGAACTTTTTCTAATACTAATTTTTACAATGATAGATAGATTTTCTCTTATACAATTATCGCGTGTCATTTAAAATTCGATGCAGCAACGTTCTAGGTAAATATAGGTCTGCCTTGCCACGCTAGAACAATTCAAATTCCTACTGCTTCCAAAATGACCGTATCCTCGCGTCCAGGATCAATCAAGCTTCGCACCCTGACCCGCCGTTCACTTTTCACGGCATAACCGACGTCTGATGGCAGACCTGTCGTGGTCCCAATACTTGTTCTGTGATTTTCTGCACGCTACACAACGTGACCTTCTACCTGCTTCACATGCTCCATTTGTTCATGTTTAACAATGATTGATTATGCTAATCCAACACGTCAGTTAGGTTAAATGTTCTTATTCCCTTGAATGCATTTCCTTGTAAATTATCAACATAATTTATATGAATAGAATATTATCAATTTAGTTCATATGGATAATAAATTAAACATACATTTTATATGAATAATTTCTTCCGAGAGAGTCGATTAATAAGACATGTTTTATTATAGCACGTATCGTATGTCTTATAATACCATCAACGGTTGCAGGCCTGCCCACAAATTAAATATTAGTAAAAATTTTAAACCTTTTTAAAAAACAACTAAGATTTCCTTAGTTCCATTGAAGGTCAAGTCACCTTACGTAATAGTTGCGTGTTTGAGTCCTCAATCCTACCTCATGCGTGGTGGTTTGGAGCATTACCTTCAGCACTGGAATTGAGAGGTCATAAATCTTTATGGGGATTAATTTGCCATGTTGCCATGACCTCCCGCTCCTGAAACGGCATTCGCACTGACCTCCGCCGATCACGATCGAATTCCGACGTGAAATTTTTAACCTAATTGGTTTCTGTATTGTGAGTTAATGAGATTGTAAGGCACGCTACGAAAGTTACGAAAGTTAAACTAAAAAAATATAACTCAGTACTCACTGCAGTGAGTGACAAAGAGCGCATTTTCTAGTCGACGACAACGTGAAGTCACGGGCAGACGGACGGACAGACGGACAGACAGACAGAAGGAAATGGCGAGCACAATAGTGCATTTTTTCCATAAATGAGAAAATGCGTTAAAAATGAATTGGTGATATTGTATTAAAGCGACACGCCCATATCACAAGCAAAAAGCCAATATAGCACTGATATGCCAATTTATCGGGACAAAGTGGGTCGGGATGACCCACGCACAAGCAATAATGGTTCGCTGTTTGGACAAAGAACCACTGATTTCTCTAAGAGCTAAAGTATTTTAGATGCAAGAGAATATTCCAGGTTAAATTTTCGTAATGTTGACCGTTAAATGAACGTAAATGATTCACCTGCTTGATTGGTAGAGATTATTTCACACCATCAGGATTTCAAAGTGCTTGTATAATAAACATATTTTACCCTTACATGTAAAATAAACTTTTTATCCCTGCATGTAGAATAAACTTATTTTACAATCAAATGTTATGTTTCAGAGCCTGAAGAAGCTGAGTCATGTGAACGTAGTGAAGCTGAAGGAGGTGATCAGAGAGAAAGATACTCTTTACTTTGTGATGGAGTACATGCGAGAGAACTTATACCAGCTCATGAAGAACAGGTCAGTTCCTGCTATTATTGTGAGAAAAATACATTTTTTATATACATTACATTATTTACATTACATTATTTTATATAAATATTATATTTTTTATATACATTTTTTTTATTTTTATTACTATATCAATATTATATAGAATATTTAAATAAACAAATTGTATTTATTTTTATCGCTGTACCCATTTATTTAATCCATTGTTATGTATGCTATTGTTATTTTTATGTATTTAACCCATTGTTCTTTTTATTTCAGTGACAAATTGTTCTCCGAGTCCGTGATACGGAACATGATGTGGCAAGTGCTACAGGGCTTAGCGTTCATGCACAAGCACGGCTACTTCCACAGAGACATGAAGCCCGAGAACCTGCTCTGTACCGGCCCCGATATCATCAAGATCGGCGACTTCGGCCTGGCAAGAGAAATACGTTCAAGGCCCCCGTATACCGACTACGTATCAACCAGATGGTAAAACGTATTCAAAATCTTGGTTCATGTTGTGCAGTAACATGAATATGCGACAGAACACCGTAATTAGCAATTGTATAAAGATAAAAATGTTGTTCTTCGTTTTGCTTGGATGCGATTGCATAGTTGCGTAGTAACATTTATTCATATCTGAATAAATATTAACACTTAGATCGGCAATCAATTAGATTATTGAACAATTATTAGATAAACAAGCAGATCAAGTCTAAAACTTTAAAATAATACATTTTAATTATTTAAAGTCTAGAAATTTGATATAATACGTTATAACAGGTATTGAACTATAAATAATACGTTGTTATTAGTATTGAACTATACTAATTAAGTATGGAACTTTAAAATAATACGTTATAATCAGGTCAAGTCTAGAACATTAAAAGAATACTTTTCAATTAGATTAAGTGTATAACTTTGAAATGATATTTTATAATAAGATTAACCCTAAAACTTCTGTTATCAGGTACCGTGCCCCCGAAGTGCTGCTGAGAGCCACCAACTACAGCAGCCCCATCGACATGTGGGCAGTGGGGGCGATCATGGCGGAGGTGTACACATTCCGTCCGCTCTTCCCTGGCAACTCCGAGATCGACCAAATCTTCAAAATCTGCCAAGTTATAGGAACGCCTGAAAAAGTAATTTGAATTGATTACGCTTCTTGATTACGATTTTCTCGTATATTCATGTTACCGCGCAACATGAAACAACATGATTATATTTACAATGTTTTTTAGAACTGTCGCACAATGCGAATTAAGAAATAATTATAGCACTAGAAGTCTAGAATCAATTTCAATTCGATTTTGGATAAAAGCTGAGATACGATTAGTCCTAAGAAGTTAGAGTAGTATCGTAAAACTGTAAAATTAATCTGACAGTGAATTTCAATTCATTTCAGTTCTCATGAAATTTTGTTAATTTGCCTTTTACTTTTTCTGTGAAAGTTTTTCTTTGTCAAGTCTATTTCGGATAATAAAAAAAAAAACTAGACAAATTTCCTATTTTTCTGGTCACAATATATTTTAGTTTCTATTTCTCTTCTCTTGGATCATTAGTTATCACAAAAGTTTCTTGCATTTCTCATAACAAAATATTATAAATGCTAGGAATCATCATGTATGAGCATAGGATCATTAATTAGTCAACCATTATTAGCATATCGCATGGGAATAATTTTTGTTTTATTTTACATAACTTTAGAAGGCTTTTCAAGAATGATAATGTTTACAAACTATACAATGCGAAAAACAGTTTTTCTATTTCATGTTTATCTCATAATCATAATTTAGATAATGTTTAAAATTTAATTGCATCTTAAAACTATTTTTATTACTATTTACTCTTGCTCTTATAGTTAATAATTCCTATACCCGTATATGGTGATGACCCTCCAGGCTGACTGGCCCGAGGGCTACATTTTAGCCAAGGCCATGAACTTCAAGTTCCCACAATTCACTCCCATGAACTTATCTTCCATCGTGACTAACGCCAGCCCTGAAGCACTCAGACTCATGAGTGATATGCTGCTATGGAACCCTACCAAAAGACCTACTGCCCAGCAGTGCTTCAAGTAAATCTATTCCTTACTTTCTTAAGTTTTGAGATGGAATTCGACTGTTTAAAGTTCTCGAAATAGTTAAATGTCGATGTTGGTGTAGAAAATGTTGTATTTTTAATGTAAAAAAAAAGTTCTGTATCAGTAAGGGATGGGTGAACATGATCGAATACCGCTTGTTTTTTTAATTATTTAGTTTCAAAATGATTTTTTTAATCCTTAGGTGCAAAATAATTAATAATGATGAAAAATCAATTCCTGTTATGGTCCTACTTTTACTGGTAAATGAGTGGTTTTGTTATGTTTAACATTTTACAAGACATGTTTCAATAATAACTGATAAAAATAGCTCGGCTTCAGTCATGTGAATACGTAAATACTTGTGAATGAAATATGAGATGATTAGTGTGGAAATGAATCATATATTTTGAAAACAATTTGCACTCTGCATAAGTTTAGACATGATTAAATGCAATTTCATCTGACTGTAATAAGGCAATTAGCCTTTGTAGTTTGTCATCCTGGTAAATTATTATTTCAGGTACCCGTACTTCGCGAACCACAACACTGAGAGCAACCAGCTTTCCATGACGATGCACAAACTTAAACTCGCCTCTGAGCAGAACAAATACTCAAACAACTACACAGGCCTGTCATCTCAGTGGATTTCTACAGAAAATCTCAAGTAAGCTCGTATCTGGAAAACATTGAGCCCTCAAAGCCTCTACGCGGATACTCCCCTAACAAAATTTAGAGGCGTGCGCGACCCTGCATTAGGGCCGCCTATACTCGGGGGAGCACGTAAGGCAGTTTTCAATGTCCGCTCCGGCTTAGGATTCGAATGGCAGCCTCTGGGCAGCTTGCTAGCTCGTTATGACTCGGCTCGGCTAACCCTTGTCATACTGTAGGGTGACTATGATGTCGGATATGAGACTATGACCAGAAACTGATTTTGATCGGGTGGCCAAACCGACCCAGAATAACTGTGCGTCGAGTGTAGTGACTATTCGGCCGGAGCCTAGGCAGTCCCGGAATTTTTTTAGGGTTATTACTCAATACATATTGGAACAATTATCAGCAATAAAAACATTTTTTCTCGATTCTGAAGACTGCTGAAGACTGCATAGCGAAAGAGCAGAAATGTCGGTGCATTGTTGTTTTGATAATTTTTCAAACATTGACAATCCACCGACTAGCATGATTTTGAGGGTATGTTTTTCTTGGTATTCATACAAACTTTTGAAGTTTATGGATGTCTGGCACATGAATAATTAAATATCCGATCAAGTATAATTATAATAATTGAAAATATAATGATGTTCTAGGCTATTAAAACTATACAGGTCATTAGACTTGTTGTGTCTATTTTGAAGATTGCAGATCTTCACAGGATGAAAAAGCATTTTATTATACTTACCAATAATTTTTGAAGGTTCATTCCATCTGCATATCAGACGCATTTATAATCAAATCTTTCCTTTATTTTTCTATACAAATAAAACATTTCAACGATAAAGTTAATACGGTACAAAATTAATTTCGATGAGAAATATTTAAAATGTGAGTAAAATATTCGTCTTTTCAATCGGTCAAGTCTTGCTATCCACAACACAAATCACATCTCAATGCAACTGTTTCATATCTTCAAGTGAACGCACATCGATCAAAATAGTTTTGGTAGACCTGAATCTGTCAGCAAACCTGCTCTATAAATTAATTGACCGTCTTCGACCCTATTCGCAACCTTGTAGTTACGCTCTGTCTACGAAAACATTATCTATAGCCAACACTATTCACATCTAAAGGCTTGATAACAGTAGCTACATTCCGCTGACAAAGGGTGATAAGCGTTAATAAAATATCTTTCCTTCAACAGCCGCGGCACGGAGCAGCCCAGCAGTTTACGAGCTTCCAGTTTGTCGAGAGCAGGTGGGATATCGCACAGTGTGTCCGATGATGAACTCGCACAGCCTCGGCCTCCAGCGGAGGGCGAGGCAAACTTGCCGGAGATTGGGTGGAGAGTGCCAGACGCTAAAAACTATAATGACGAAAGCGAAGGTACCTTAGATAAAAAACACGACCGAGTCGAAGGCGGTTTTGCCAGCAACGAAGATGGCGATATTGTGCCCTATAGGTCCAACGTGAAAGTTGGGTTTGCCAGCGTTGACACCGCCTATGAGGATGACGGAAAGATCACCAATGGAAAATCTTCGGCGATGATTGTGAACAGGTATAACCCATCGAGCAGCGTCGTGGGGGTGAGCAGGCCCCAAGGTGGTGTTATAGGTGGCGGGAACTCTACCAAGTATAGCAGCTACGGGGGACTTACATCAAATTATGGTTACGGCAGTAATGGCTACGGCTACGGCAGTTTCGGACCGTCCAATACGTCGGGACTAACTGGCCGTGTGAGCGTCATGTCAAAAGCGAGCAACCGCAGCAGCTTGATCTCCGGAATGAGTTTGGTCGGGTCACAGCCATTCACAAAGCTCGGTAATTCAACAAACTTTACTTCCAATAACGTCAAAAGTTTCCCAGCTGGAAGAGTCTCTCATCTCCAAATGGATCCCATCGAGCACCGGATACCTGGCCTTGCGCCGTATAGCAGTAAGTATTCAGCAACCGAGCAAAATAATATTTTAATTCTGATTAATTTCAACTTCGACACATCAGGGTCTGGAGTTGTGAAGCGGATCGTGATGAATTAGACATCAATGTATCATTAATGGCAAGCGTGTTGAAGAATAATTCCATTTTCGGAAATAAACTGCTGATCGGCAATATGATTGCAACTTATTATTTTTAAATAATCTATTAAAATGAGGGTCGATGATGTTTTTATTTCATTTGAAATTTTATTATGACATATTTTTTTAATCATATTATTTTATGTATTCCTAACAAATAAATTTTCTAGTTAATTCATCCAAAAAATTTATACGAGATTTAATAAAATTTATCAATTCATTTAACTTTTAACTTTAACTTTAACTTAATTCTTTGGTATCAGAATTATTTCTTTTATGCCTTATATACAAAAGAATTACTGCCGTAAGCGGCAGGAAATTACTGCATCCTGCAGCGATCTTGTACCGCAATTCGCTTATGTTCAGGTTCAATTGAGGTCGACAAGATTTTTTTGTCATCTTTAGTTTCCACATTTCAAAATTAAAAATTATTTGGAAATGTGGAAACTATTTGCTGAATTTTTGGTGCTGCTCCAATTTTCGTTTTTAGAGACATAGACGAACATTTTTATTAGAAATTCTTTCACATTGACATTTAGGTGCTGCTGTTATTTACGCTCATGTATTTGAAATATTATAGCTCTAGTATAGTCTGAATAACTTTTTTACGGACATTATCACTGAATATTGTCATAAAGTATTAAATTTAAGTTAATGACCTGCAAATTACATCTCATTCAGGGCTCCGTGTTGTGTATAATCGGTTTGTTACGTGTTATATTATGCGTATAGTGTAATATGCTAGGGTCACATGAGTATTCTCATTTCTGAACATAGGTTCCTATGAATAAACTTACGTTTTTATCAATTATATGATTCTTCATCTTATGCTAAGCATTCTTGGCAGAAAATGAATTAATTCAAGGAAGGAAATTACCTGATAAAATTAAAAATAGTCATTATTTCAACCCTCATATATTTTTCTGACCCGCGCATGTAGGAAAGTTAATTATAGAAATTGTTGATTGGAAAAATTATTTTTTAAGTAATTTTTTGTGATGCAATTTACCTTTTTCTTTTTTTTAAGAGTCTCAGCCAATTAGGATAAACGGATTAGCAGTGACACGATCCAACCTCAATGGTAACTTTTCGACCAGCCTACATCAGTAGTTTGGTTTCGACCAGCTTACATCAGTAGTTTGATTTCGACCAGCTTACATCAGTAGTTTGATTTCGACCAGCCTACATCTGTAGTTTGATTTCGACCAGCCTACATCTGTAGTTTGATTTCGACCAGCCTACATCAGTAGTTTGATTTCGACCAGCCTACATCTGTAGTTTGATTTCGGCCAGCCTACATCTGTAGTTTGATTTCGGCCAGCCTACATCAGTAGTTTGATTGCGACCAGCCTACATCTGTAGTTTGATTTCGGCCAGCCTACATCTGTAGTTTGATTTCGAGCCGCCTACATCTTTACTTTGATTTCAAGCACCCTGGATCAGCAATTTGATTCAAAAAAGCTTTCATCATTAGTTTGACTTTAAGCAACCTATATCGCTGGTTTGGTTTCAAACATCCCATATAAGCATTTTGATTTTGAATAACCTTCATCTGTAGTTCGATTTCAAGCAGCCTACATCAGTAGTTTGATTTCAAGCAGCCTACATCAGTAGTTTGAGAAATTTTCTTTGCGCCCTCACCTACACGCTAGTTATTTGTTTCACTGTTAAATTCTAGAAGCAGTAAATGTTCCAATTAGAAGAAAGGCTTCTGCACAAACAGGTTTGTTTGAGGTATCCCATTTAGATCTTGGAGTTTTCCGCAGGACTCTTCCTAACCCTGGTGTAGATGTCAGGTATCCAAGGAATTTATGCCCGCCTAAGCTATGCAATCAATACCAAATGTTTTATATAGTATGCAAATATTGGGCCTCGTCAACGATTTAAATTTAATTCTTAATTAAATCAAATTTAATTATTTCTTTATTAATGTCACTTATTTGCTTGTTTCGACCAGCCTACATCAGTATTATCCATCAGTATCAGTAGTATTTCTTTAAAAATTGTACAGTGCATAGCGTTGAAGCGTTGATAAAGCTGCCCGTTCTGAGAACAATGTAGCTTTTAACGTAATTCTTCGACGATTTTTTCGAATAACGCAATCTCAGTTGCATGATCCGTCCAATCTCCGGTTGATGGTTTGTCAAGGCACATTTAATTATTACTTAGTCAGGTCACTTTCAATTATTTATTCCTTTACCATTTCAGCTCAGTTATTGATTTTCCACGTCACTAAAATGACAATAGTTTTTCTATATCAAATGCACGAGTGATATTTGGACAAATGCACGCCCAAAATGTCACTCGATCTTTTCAAAAAGCGCCCTTTTTTAAAAAATCTGAAATATTTATATTAAAAAATATCGTTTAATTTATTCAATGAAGTTTAATGCGTTGACGAGTTGTTATTTGAAGCCAGTAAAGAGTATTTCTGAATTTTCTAGCTCAGTTTTTAAATTCAAGCACGGCCCACGGTTTGAAAGTAAAGTATTTTGCACGTAAATACTGTTTTCACGTATTGTTATTGATAGCACGCAGGCCTGAGTGTGGATTGTGTTTTGGAATTGGCCAATTAAATTTTGCACTCATGGGTCTGTACAATGCTCATGGTCTGGTTGGCTGGCTATCGTATATTTTATGAGAGTATCCATATGAATTTGAATGTTTATTGTCTTATTCAATCACACTTCAGTGTATTTTATCTCGTCTCATGTCTCACTGGCAAATGTGTTCCATTAGAATATTTTTTATGTGATATTGGTTACATGAGGTGAAAGTTTCATTAAATTTTATGGCATTAGTGATTATATTGTCAATTATTTGAAATGTTCTGCATACACTCATACAGTTGACTCACAATGATTTCATATTGAGGTTGATCGATATTGGTTAACTCATTTTTAAAACACTAAACTACGTACGTGAAGAAACAACTAGATCCCTATTTTATTTAATTAGTAGGCACTCTATTGCCCACTAATTTTTGCCAAAAAATAAACATAGTTTTTTTTTATTTGAAAGCACCCTAGCGCTTTTTTGACCATTTCGTGGAACAGGCATTAATTTATGATTATTATTATTATATTAGCTGAATTAATTATCCCTGATTTCCCCCGACAGGCGCGGTGAGCAGAAGCATGCCCGGCAACCTAGCCTCGGGGATGGTGAACCCCGTCGGTGGGGGCTCAGACCCCAGCATGAGTGGGGCTGGAGGAGTAGACTTTGGGGCTGGGGGATACCGAAGTGGATACGGAGGAGGATTTGGATCCACAACCTATAAGAATCATTACTCGTACCCCAACAGCGTGCCCACCTCAAACACTTCGTTCGTCTCCAACCCCAGGTCCAACAGCGCCAATAACATCCACGGCCGCACCAACTGGAAGGAAAAGTAAGATATTTTCTCGTTAATATCATTCAAATTACTGTACATGTTTCCAAGTGTCGAACAAGAAATTATTTATTTTTTCGTAATGGTTTGAATATCATCTGTTTGTAAATAGATAATAAAATGTAATAATAAATTTTATGAAAGGGAACTACATATCACTACTGGAAGTTGATTTAACGGATGGAAATATCATACAGGAAGAACATATGTTAAGAAAAATTAAATTTCGACATTGACGTGTAAATATAATTCATGTATAAAATTATGCATTGTTGAAGGTTATACATCAATAGGAAAAAAATTATATAGTAGGATCTCTACTTCAGAAAATCAGTACCTAAAATATTTCATATATCATTTTTTTCACACCATACGTGCGAATAAATAAGTCCCATTATACAAGCTGTGCCCTGGAAAACGAAATTTCTTCGTGTGTAAAAAGAGCAATATCATGTAATATGAGTAGTATTAATTTAAAATTGAGGTGAAAAAGATTTTTGCAGGAGGAATTATAAAGAATCTTGTCACATGGTGAGTTTCTTCAAGGAAAGTCAAATGCCGACTTACAGTGTAGGCGCTTAGATTATATTTAAACATTCGAATGTTTTAATTTTGCAATATACTTATGAACGATATACAATGATGAAAATTCGAACAGTCAAAAAAATTATTATAAATCTTCTAATAAACAATTTGCTGGAACGTCCTTTATTGCTTGCAAAGTAAAACTCGTTCAAAAAATATATAGTCATGTATAAGCACGTCTGTCTCTGTGATGTTCATATGACTATTAAATTTTATTAGTGTTTTTGTTATCTTATTCGTGGGAATTTTTATACGTATTTATAAAGTTTCATGTATTTTCAGGTACCTAAAATAGGCCCATCTTGTCTGGAAAGAATCGAGTACGACAACTTGGCACCGACATGCGCCCTTGCAAGGAAGGCATGCCTGAAACGGGGATAGCTGTGTGAAATTTCGATGTTCTATAAATATATGGATGACCGTTTGCGTAGAAGATAATTTTACGTTCATTTACATTATGAATGAAAATATCCATGAATGTGTAATAAAAATTGTAAAAGTTTAAGTAAACACATAACCTCGAACATTAATTAAATGGACTGCTTGCAGCACAGCTGCCAACATGATTGTACCCTATACATGTTCCGAATGTTTGTACAAAAAATATTTATCTGTATACATATTTGCAGGGTTTTGACATCACTTTTAGAACTTTTAAATGTTCATTGCTATCTATTACAGCACTGGCAAAAAATGAATAACCTAAATAGAGCATGATGATATAATAATTGATATAACATAATAAGAATATCTGTACCAATCACTTTGAAGATTATCTGTGGTATAAATCTGTGAACTCTGGTCTTCTAAATTTCGATTTTTACGAGGATTATTTATTTTTTGAGATATAAAAAGCCATATAGGTGATTTAATAAGCAAAATTTACTTTTGATTGTATAAATTTAACAACCTCGTAATTTTATTGCAATTTTTATTGAGGTTAACCGTCCTGATATATAAATGAAATCATTACAGTCTTGTTACTGCAGCAGTGACTATATAGCACACACGCTGCACTTGGCCCTTAATGTTGCATGTATGCTGAATTGTGGAACCTTCTGCCAGTGTCTGATTAATTTATTTGCTCGTAATTAGGAAATAAATATGAATTCTAACGTGGACTGTAGACACGACGAACCTTCGAGAATTTAAAATCATATTCAAGAGGTGAATTGACGTAGAGATAACGGCTTGATAAGAATGAGAGCCGTATACCTGCGTCATGCCTTTAATGATTTATGATACTTGGCGGCGAAAAATTTTCATCGATTTGCTTCGCTGCTCGTATTATAATGAGGTTAACATTAGAAATTGCAGGCAATAATTCTTCATTTTACTTCGTATCTAGAGTATCTAGTAGCATGCTATATTAAAATTTGCAGATTCTTTCGGTAAAGCTAATGCCTGGGTTTTAACATTTTGGAATGCTGTTAGTCAACAGAAAACAGACAATGTTTTAAAAGTATATTTACTGTGACTTGACGCGAGTGTGTTTATGAGCTCATGCAGTCCTGCAATTGAGTTGAATTATTCAACGACCAGCAAGACTCTATGTATCTATGTAGAAACAATGAACTTAAATCACTCAGCTGCTATAGCAAGACTCTGTGTTAAAACAATAATCTCTGATATAACTTTGGACTGAATTGTACCTGAATTATTTTGGAAAGTTTATTACCAAATTTTGACGTTCACGTTCCTGCATTTGGGTAATATTTAGTTGTAAATGAGCCCTCATTCTTGCCAGGTCTGTGCAGTGCACAGCGCATGAGTTTCCAGATGAATGTCATGACTGTGTAGTGCACAGAAACTGAGCTGTCTTAACATGACGTTCGATAAGAACATGGATGGTCATACATTCAATGTATGACCATATACATATTTACGATATTTATTTCGTTTTCATCAATGATTTTTTTAGGTTCTAAATTACATGACAATTTTTTATTTTGTGACCAACATGGCCGACGAATACTTCATCCATTTATTAGTTTTATAAAACTACAATTCTCAATGCATTGATGAAGGTTTATCGCTCACACCTTATCTATTGTGACGAGGTCTCTGATAACGCGGTTCTTGTTAATCAAGTTTTCACCAACTGACCACAACTTGCACTCAGTCACTCGTGTGTGCTGATGGCTCACCTTGCCAAGTTATTCATTCTGCAAATGTCTAAGCCAATTATTGAATCCTCATCAGTGCCTTTTGTAGAGTTGTATTTTAAAATTAAGAGAAATTTATTCACGAGATCGTCTGCCAAAAAGTTCAATTATAAATTTCTTTTCGGCTTAATGCGAGTACAAATTCTTACTCATTTATTTGACGACTTTGGTGCAAATTTGGTAGTTGAAATTTTCCACTTCCTCAAAGTTTATCAAGCTGAAAAAAATTGAGCGGTTGCAGATTTTTCACATCAAATGGATTCTAATTTTTTTTTAAATTTACGTGGTGGCAAAAATTAGAGACAAATCTTAAGCTTATGAAATAAATTTTATTAGACATATTGTTAGCATAATTATTTGTCATCGACCGTTGAATTAAAAATTGTGTTATAGGTAATTATTTCATCACTGTTATAAAACTTCAGTTTTTGAACTCCATCGAATTCATATATTCAGAATACAAAGAGTCCCAAACATCCGCCTAAAATTTCTGCAAAGGCAGTAATGAGAAATTCATTAATTGACCGTATTCACGTGATAAAAATTTGTAGATATGTTTTATTCAAGTAATTAAAATTAAATAATGTGCAAAAAATTTATTTATCTACGTTAATTAGGTGATTCAATAATGCAAATTATTTTCCAAAACGAGACAGATACATAGTTAAATGAATCTTTAATTTCCTTGTGTTAACTGCAGAGATGAAAACGATCTGATGTCAGTTGTGCGTTATATCTTAACAATATTGTATTAACAAGTACATCGAACTAATTTTCATGCAAATTGGAGAGCGTAATTCGAAGTTGCATTTATCAAACAAATCGGATTAACCTTTTGTGAAGATTTTATTCATAATTGAACCATCGTAGTTAAGGTAAAATTTTTAAGTTTTAAATCTGCCTATAAATTTGCTTGGGAGCAATAATGACACTCAATATTTTTGTACATGTAATTTAATATCCCTAATTTGGTCTATGGTTCTGTCATTTGTGATCATCAGCACCTAATCCTTCGTCAATTTCGACACTTTCGTACGTAATGATAACGAATGACTGTTATCATTCGTAACAGAATGACAGAGTTAAATCATCCTAATTATTTCCAATTGGTATCCTTCTAACCCTTAATAATCCCTTCGCAGAATACTTATCCTCTCTACTGACGTCTAGTATTTTTCTAATTGTGTTATTTTTTGTGCATTATGTGATCGTATTTTACCTAGCATGAAAATAAGACATGTCAAACTGCATGCAATGAAAAAATGCCCCTATCTTTTGCTGCATGAGAATAAAATATTATTTATGCTCTCAATTCTGAATGATTGAATGATGGCCTGAATGATCATGTTGAAAGTAGAAAATCTTCCCCTGGTCGCTTTTTCTTGAAATGATCTTGACGTATTACTTGTAGATGACGACGCTAACGCTAGTTATTGCAGAGGCCTCCGGTATTTTCGACCTAAAGTTTTTTAACCTTTTAAACCTGTTGAACTCTAGGTTTTATCAGTGCTATAAAAAACAAAATAAAAAATAGGCTTAAGAAAGATGTTTCAAACATTTTATCTACAAAAATCAACAGCCATAGTCATTGCCCGCTGACAAATAATTTATAGAAAAATTCGAATACTATAAACAGAATTAAATAATAAAAGACAAAGATTAATATAAATTTAATAATATTATATTTTAGGTCGCGTTGTGATTTTGGTTTGTCAGACATTTAAATCCAAAGTAGATAAATGGATGAATCTTTAGTAGATAAATGCATTATTATTATCGAAGCATTATTAATTAATCACTCATGCCATGGTAGCGCAGGATATTCACGGGTACACAGCGGTTCATATACGCGTACTTGACTCGAAGTTTTGAAAATGTGTGAATATTGCATGGGAGAATTGCGTGTAAATTATGTCTGTGATCATTATTATAACATATAAAGTGGCCATGTTTATGATATGAATAAAGATGATTTATTATGAAACGATTTTATTATAAATCCCATTGGTAATTTGCGGTTTCTGTTGTGTGATAAGATCAAGTGTTTCTTCCGGTTCCTTTATTTTGGAATGATGAAGTTGAATATTCCTGGTTATTTATTCTCGAAATTTTAAAACCGAAGCTTTTTCAATTCACCTAATTCACACTTTCAATTCACTGTTTGTTGAATGATGAATCCAATAATTTACATTATTCATCTGAAAGCCAAGTCCATGTGGTGGTTTCGTAATGAATTTTCAAAAACGGTCGAAAATTTATTCAATTCAAATTGTTAATCGCTCCTTCTCGTCACAAAAAACTAAGCTACCTTGATGAAAATCGAGTCACTTCATAGGTGCGTTCGTTTACTCTTACGTTTTTTTTAACGAAAGTTAAAAAAAAATTCAACGTTCTCCTTTTACTTTATTCGAGCTTTGAAGCCTCAGAAAGAAGGACGCTGACAGTTCTTATCATGCAGACCACAGATAACGGCCATATTCCAAATAAATTCAACAAATCACACGAACTTATCTTACAACTTTTGATGATTTATGTGTCGGTCAACCGGATAGATGACGTAAGCAGGATTAATTTCTTTATCTTATCGTGAAGCTGAATTGAAGGAATTCTTTCGCTTGGCCAGTCATCGCGGAGCTGCCAATGGAGTTGGTCAGTCGTTAAAGAGCTGTTAATCATAGTTGAGTTGGCGAGTCGTTAAAGAGATGTTTATCTCGGTGGAGTTGGTCAGTCGTTAAAGAGCTGTTAATCATAGTTGAGTTGGCGAGTCGTTAAAGAGCTGTTAATCACGGCGGAGTTGCCATGCAATCGTTCAAGAGCTATTAATTTGATTTGAGTTGGCCAGTCGTTAAGGAGTTGTTAATCATAGTTGAGTTGGCGAGTCGTTAAAGAGCTGTTAATCACGGTGGAGTTGCCATGCAGAAGTTAAAGAGCTATTAATTTGTTTTTAGTTGGCCAGTCGTTAAGGAGATGTTAATCGTAGTGGAGTTGGCGAGTCGTTAAGGAGCTGTTAATCACGGTGGAGTTCGTCACTCATTAGGGAACTGTTTAGTCACGGGGGATTTGGGGTTCGTCCCAATGCCAGACGTAGATTGTTTTGGAGAATTTCTTTAATTCGGAGACTGGATATACATGGCTTTTTGTCGGCAAAAACGATATTCTGTAAAATTTCGAGTAATGGTACAAATTAAAAAATGGGGTGAGCATCCAATCGACATGTAATGTTGGACACGGCTGTAAAACTGCTCTTCTTAATAGAAAATAGTTTAAGTGCAATATTGCTAAAATCATGCGGTTATAAAATTCAATGATATTCTTATTTTTGTGATTTAAATAGTGAACGATGCAAATTTTACCAATAACTAATTTAAATTGAAAAACATACTCTAGCCACAGACTCTTTGCTTGTTTGCCCTGTGAATGTCGTTATATTTCAGGTATATTTTTTCATGAAATTTTTTTGTAGATAACAAATAATTTAGGGAGCTTCAGTGATCAAATTCAAGCGTTGAAGGAAGCCGGAACCTTCAAGGTAAGTTTTTGAATAACAGTCTAACTTTAGAAATCTATTGCAGCCTGTAAATTCAAATAAATTTTTAAGCTTTCCACATCCTGCCTGGAAAAGTTTCTGAGCTTTGTTCTGACAATTTCTAGAAAAAAAATGTAACCTGTGATGGCACCGAAGCGGTTGAAAATGAAGATAAATTGTTCGATTATTTTGAAAATAAAATTGCTCTATTTCCTATAAATCTTCCTATGCTGAATTTCATTTTTATTTACAACAAAATCAAAAGCCTGCATTACAACGGCCGATTGCCATTCGTGTAGCCTTGAAATGCTGTAGGAACTGCATGAGAAAGGTTATAAAGCATAAACTTAACCTTAATTACCTTAATCTCAAACTTTTTGTACTTTAATTCAGATGATTCAATATCACGGAAATAGTTATTGATGTCACATAGAATGCGTTAATTTAGTGTAGAATCAATTTAAGAATTTTTTACTAAAATAAATGAAACTTACTGACTTTAAGTGTAGGTGTATCATTACTTTCCATGTTGGTACCTTATCTGTGTTATCTCTGAACGTCACTCTGCTCAGCCACAGTTTGAGCAAGATTCATTTTTACCAATTTTAGAATTTAGCCAGTGCATCCAGCTATTTACTTATAAACTTACAATATTTTCATTTGAAATTTTAGGCCACTTTTTGTTATTCCATCTCATATTGGGTATTTTCAAAATAGACATGAAAGCAAATCATTTTATTAAACCATCTTCAACAGTTTTCGCTAATATTAATTGAGCCTTCTTCTAAAACTAATTAAATTGTGTCATTAACGTTTCTAGATCATTTTATTATAGCTACAATGTGAACACATCATTCTCATTTCAAAGCAAAGTTCAGTCTGAACATTTATCATCACATGTCACGATGAGACATGAGCGGTTCCAATGGCCTCATGTGACGTCATTTTTGTCAAGCATTACATTGTTTTTATCAAAATATTCTTCGCTATACTCATGATATCTCTTTACTTGACACCTCCTGGCGACCAAAAACCACTTATCCCGTCATACTTCCTTCATTTTTTTATTGCAATGGTTTTATTACTTGAATAGATATGAGGCATTAATTGAAGTTTTGTCTTACAGTAGCGATAAAGCTTGTATATAACAGGATATTGGCATGGCGGAAATGGTTTTTGTCCTTAGAAACTTTCGTAACATCGTTCACACATTGCATATGAGGACGAGGCAAATGGCAGTAGTGCTTGCTACTTATTTCCTTCTCTTAATTTGAATTAGGATGCGAGCGTTGCAAAGGTTTATTTCATCTTCTATTTCAAGTTTTTTCACATTTTTAATACGTTACCTCACTTGCATACTATTCATCAGATGGCAAGGTCCCCGAATGTGGGATTTCACATCCCGGATCTCAACGACAGCGACCAGGAATTATCCGACGATGCGGACGAATCAATTCCACTTACTGGCATCAACAGGTATGAGGGGACATGGGGGAAAACCCCACATCCTTAATAAACAAATAAATAATATCAGGTGAGATTTTAATCTTGGGTCGAACCTAGCCCACTGGCCGCTACCAACAAAATCTCATCCTAAGCCATATACCGTTTTATTAAAATTTAAATTTCTTGTTACGCCATTTTCAACTTTATCTTCATTTCATTTATTGTATAATTCGTTAAATAAATATTGTGTAAATATTGTGTAATTCGTTAAATAATTAAATTGTTCGTTAATGTACGTATGAATTTGAGAGAACTTGTTTGTGGGTTCGAACTCTCGAAAGAGAACTGGTAGGCTTAGTATACCGTCATGTCTGTCCCCTTGGCGGAGATATTTAGCAAGCAGGGGTTACACTGTACACTGTACACTGTACTCTGTACACTGTACACTGTACACTGTACACTGTACACTGTACACTGTACTCTGTACACTGTACTCTGTACTCTGTGCACTGTACTCTGTACACTGTACACTGTACACTGTACTCTGTACACTGTACTCTGTACACTGTACACTGTACTCTGTACACTGTACACTGTACACTCTTGTACACTGTACAACCTACCATAGCAACTATTCTCCATATTCCTGAGCAGGCCAGGATTATGGGGGTTAACCTGCTTATTTTCACACACAACAACGGCACGTTAACCTGCTAGTCTCCATTAAAAATGCGAACGACTATTCATATTTTAAATTCAATACTTATATATACAAAATACAAACTGTTACAGGGAGGCGGTTCTTCTCTAATCGCATGTACTAAATTAGATTTAATTGCGAAGCAGAATTAACATGCAGTGGCTAACCAAGTCTCCTTACCGTTCATATAAATTTTTTAAGACTGCGGCTGAAAAAAATTACGGAAAAAATTGACAAATGTGTTAGTTGAAATCAGCCTTAAAGGATAAGTATACAATTATATATAACCATATATATATATAATCCATACTAGAGTTAGTAGATATTAGCTGTATCAAATTAGTATATTAGGTTTACAACACATAAACATAACCCATACAACCTTTAGTTAATATCAGCTGCATAGGATTACTATACAACTATATAACTTCATGTATTACTCATACAACTGATAGTTAATATTAGCCTTATGTAATTACTATACATGTACATAACGCATAAATATATCCCACACAACCGTTAATTAATATCAGCGTATAGGATTATTATACATGTACACAACGCATAAATATATCCCATACAACCGTTAATTAATATCAGCGTATAGGATTACTATACATGTACACAACGCATAAATATATCCCACACAACCGTTAATTAATATCAGCATATAGGATTACTATACATGTACACAACACATAAATATATCCCATAAAAGCATGTGGTGCCTGCTGACACGTGTCAGTGACGCTTCCGTCGTCTGCGTGAGAGGTTGTTACGTTACAAGTTTTCGGTATCCCTCGTTAGCTTGGAAGCCATTTACAAATAATCAAAGACCAATGTCGCTGGAAATGAAGTTTGGTGATTACTGGGACAAACTTCATGATTGAGTTCTGTGTAAATACGCTTCCCTTGGAAAAAGCTGCATTATAACAGCGCTATTGCAGGGCGTGATATGCGCTTAAATACGTGAAATATTATGAAAATATATACGGCTCACGTGATTAAAAAACCTGTATATAATAATTTTAATCTGAATCGTATCAACACTAAAGGCTGGGCTTGTTTGTGAAGTTTTACAATTAATTAAACTATAACAAAAAATATAACGCTTTCTGATTCTGAGAAACCTGCGTAGGCGATACTGTGTGATGTATGATGAGCTAGTGGTGCCCTGAGGTGCAGTGTTGTCCCGCTCTGTACCTGACTAGTTTGAAAGGTTTTCGAAATTTTCTACAAATTCTATTCCTTGTTCGGTACTGAAAACCAAAGTTGTGTTTAGTACTCTAGGGCTAGCTTAACTGCTGTATTTTCCAAAACGAACTATGCAGTTAACCAAACCGAACTTAAACTAGGGGAAAGTTTTAGTACGGATCAATTTTCGAGCATACAGGAACATTCATTAACATATGAACAGGGTTCATTCATAAATGAAATATGAATAAAATGCTTAGTCTGTGTGAGTGTGCATCATTCCGCTTATATGTTCATAACGTTAGATCATAGAAGAAACACTGAAGTGAATGTTTGCGAGAATGTAATTTCCCCGAAATTATCGAGGAATTCTATTTTTCTTCAGTACAATCTCTGCTCTTGAGGCAGAAATGAATTACAAATATTTTGCTAGTGTTTTCATGGAATATTTCCAGCAATACGCTGCTGGTAGGCATGGTCAGCCTCCGCCAAGGTAAAATTTTCCGTTACGTGTTTTAACTATAATTACATTGAGATTGTTAACAGTTCTGTCTACAGTGTTTTTTATTAAATCGCTGCTCAGTTACATTAAATTAATTTATGGATATTATGAGTTGTCAAGTAATACAAAATACTCAATAATATTAAGGCTAAAATTTGCCAAAAATTATGTTTCCACTAAATTTCGCTGATATTTTTCATTTTAATGAAAATTAGATATTTTGTCTTTTGTCAGTAGTAAGTTTAGGTCTCGACTGAGGTATAAAATTAGTGCTAATCAGCAAATCAAAACTGATTTTGATCTCTATTTTTAATTCTCCATACTCGTGTGGCTTCCGACGCAGTTCGATAGTTTTACGAAGTGAATTTTTTTTAATCCGAAAAGTTTCCTTTTTTTTAAATCGACTATACTTTCATCACAAAAGCGCATATTTTTTTCATCCGAAACGCACTCAATTTTTTTATCCGCACAGTGTTCAACTTTTCATCCGTAAAGTGTTTATTTTTAATAAGAATGTTTTTTATTTGTACAGTGCGGCCCCCACAGACGAGCGCCCCGAGAACTGGGACATGTTCGAGGACCCCCCTCCCCCCATCTCCTCTTTCTCGGAAGACTCCGATAAATTCGGACAACATATATTGAAGTTTGCTAAGGTTCGTTTGACAAACCCTGCAAATTATAATTACCAACAATCATTTTAGTTTGTGAAGGCTCGTTTGCGATACCCAAAGCAAAGTCGTTTGGTTTGTGCCCCCAATTAAAGTTTTTAAAATTTATTTGCTGAGCACATTGAACTCGCATAATTTTATGGGTTCGTTGTATGTCGATTGACAAATAATTCGAAATGTGCAGGCTGAAAAATATATGCGTATCTGCACATTTCGAATGTCTGCAAAACACTGCACAATTGTTAATGGAAATTTGAAAAGTGTGGAGCCTGATCATCCGTTGTTGATAGCACTACTGAAATATGCTAGCATTGGCTGCTAGTAATAAGATCTACCCACAGACTAACCGAAACGCATTTCCCAAATAAATGATACTATAGGCCGTGAATCTAACGGCGAGGAAATAAAATAAAAACTCCCTAGACACCATAAAGTTGCGTGTGAATTAACAGTTATTTCATAATTTAACTTGCTAAAAGCAGCGATAAAAATAGAATCTAGGATCGTCTATGACGCACACTGTATCATTGATCACCTCTGGTGCAATCATTCCTAGCATGGAAAACGATTGCTAAAAGAGGCTCCATAAGTGATACAATGCAGGTAAGTTCCAATGTAGGCAGGTTACAATGTAGGTGTTATAATTCAGCACCAATAATCGCCTGTTTTCTTTTGTTAACCGCAGCTGCTGACTTACTTGCTGACATTCGCGATCGTCTTGGGATGCGGTCTGATAGCCAAGAGTCTCATGCTCCTTATGGCTGCCCAGCTCAAGCCTGGCCGAGTCACTGACTTGTGCCCAGCAGTCAACAGAAGCGTTTTGAGTAAGTAACAGATTCAGGCAATATATTACTCTCTTATATACGTGAGGTAGGCAAAGTATTTAATTTCTTAGTCAATTATAGACAGGCATACTCATGCATTTGCTACTCGTACTCGCACGAGCTGTAAATGCCTTAGGTACATGCTTTATATGTACTCGTACATGGGAACATTATGTAGTATCTACTATCATAGTACTGGTAGAGTTCTCTGCAACGTAATGCGTAAATGGTCGCTGAGTTCTGCTCGCTTTGTGATATGCTTGCATAAATAATAATTTTTTCGTGGAAGAATCTTTACCAGTTTTTTTTCTTTGTTGTGAATCAGATGCTAAGACGACATACACCGTGGAAACCAACCCGTACGAGAACGTGGCTTGGGCATGGGCGCTCTTCTTCGCATTCATCGTCCCTGAAGTCGAGACGATGCTACGTTCGTTCCGGATGTGCTTTTTCAAGGTGAAAGCATTTGGTCAGAAGGAAAAATTGCAATGTCGTCCCTTTGGACTGAAGGGCAGGATACGGAACAAAAGCTATGCGTTTGCTGAAGAGGGTGGTTGATATTTAGACCTAGAAGCTCTGTAGGGCATTATCTTCGCCGATTTACCAAGGTATTCATTTTTTAAATATAAATATAATTAAAAAAATGTATCGTAAATTCACTATGTTTGTATTTTATTCAGGGCTTCGTGACAAAATTCTATGAAAAGGATCCAGAGATTCCCGAGAAGCCCGAAGAAGTGGCGTGTCGCCGGTACCTTGACCTGCTGGTGGTTGCCTTCTTCGAGATGTGCCACAGCGCGGGGGTGGCGGTGCTGATATACGCTGTTCTGCCAGACCTGGACTCCATCAAAGGCGCCATGCTCACAAACTGTGTTTCTGTCCTGCCCGGGGTACTGGGTGAGTACTGTACAGATTAAATCTATAAGGTAAAAATATTGTAGCAAATAACAATGCAGCAATATTTCAGCCCTATCTGTTTTTCAAATTATTGTAATAGTTTTACCAATCAAATCTCTTTCTATTTCCTGAAGAATTTGTAACAGTTTTATAAACAAATAACAAAGGATCATAATTTCAGCACTATCAGCTTTTCAAATTATAGGAAAATTTATACCAATCAAATCTCTTTCTATTTCCTGAAGAATTTGTACAAGTTTTAAGTTCAAAAAATCGAATGTGCCATTGCCCTGAATTCTGATTCAGCTCAGTAAATAACAAAGGCGCAACAAGAATTATTGGAGGATCTTCACGTTCTTTTAATTTTGTGTTTGATGCAAATCATTGAATTTCTATCATATTTTGAATGCAACGATAAATAATTCATACTGGCATCAAAATCCTGCACTTGCAGGCATACTTCAGATAATTAAAAATAAGAAATCACTGTCAAGAGGTTTAAAATTAAATAAGATAACTTATAATTCAAAGGGCCAGAGATGAGTTGAATCTTGTCCACACTTTCTTTCGTTATGTCCTTTTACTTATTGAATTAATTCTGAATTGAACTGTACAATGATGAAATTTCTCACCCAAGGAATGTTGTCAAGAACTGACGAAGATCCAAACAGGCCTGCCAAGTTGACAATGGACATCGTCGCCATAATGTTCCAGTTGACAGGGTTTGTGGTCTGGCCGCTGATCCTATCGTTCCAGAGCGACGCTGCGCTCCTGCCTGCCTGGGCGATCCCTTTTGCGTTATTCCTTACCTCCTTTGGCTGGTGGGAGAACTACGTTGATACAAAATCTTCTTGGGGTGAGTTTAAAAGCATTGTTGAATAGGATTAAAAATATATTAGATGAATTTTAATTGTTAAAACTTCTTCCTCGTGGTGTTCAAATACTTTTCCCGTATAGGAGCGCCTCTCGGCCTCGAGGTGGTCGCGCGGTTAAGATCACCAATATTGAGCAGCGATTTGAGGTTTCGAAACCCGCAAAAAAGTTGCGAAAATTCCAGTCAAAATCGACTAAGTGGTCTAGAGATTAAGAAACGGCGACAGGCTAATCTGCCTCACTAAAGCTGACACTACCACAATATAATATTTATATATATATATATACATGGCTCACTATAATATTATAGTGAGCCATGTATCAACGCTGGAATTAACTCGTATCATAAATCTAGCTAACTTTTCTAAAAAAAATTGTGAGATAGCTTTCCTTCCCCCAAGTAATTTAATTATTCATAATTTCACTCATCTCGAAACATTTTATTATTTTTTCCATAAGCACTTCTGAAGTCACGTGTAAATATGCGGTCGCAAATTTTCAATTCCAACATGCTATTCTAAAGTCGAATTAAAAATTTGCCTGTCCACCACTTCGAAAATTGCAAAAAAATTCTCTTAAATTACCAATGCCTAAAAGTTAAACTTTTGCGATGTGTCATGATGCAGGTTAGGTTGAAGTGCTTTAATTTAAAATTTATTTAAACATTCAAATTTTTTAATCTGTTTCCAACTTTCAGGTTTTGTGCGGTTCCTGGGCGGTGTCAAGCGCAGGCTCTGGAAGACGCGCTACGTCATCTACTTCGTCGTGCCCGTGCTGAAAGTGTGCGTCTACTTCGTCGTCATGGTCGTCGTCATGGGATTGCGTCTCGATGACTTCGGCATAGTCTTTGATATTCGTTTCGGAGAGAAGTGAGCACCACGTCGCTTTCGATATTCGTCTTAGAGATTATTGAGCATTAGTATAGTATCTTCGGCATTGAAGAATAGGCCTGGATAGGCCTGTCGCCGCATTAGGTCATGTTTGATATTCGCTTGCGAGGAAAGTAAGCGTCACCCTGTTTTTGATCTTCGTCTCGGTGGTAGAGATGAACATCATTTCGTGTTTCATTGAATTTCGTGTGTCAGCGAATTCTTGGTTTCTGATAGCAAGCATAATTCATTTAATAAATTTTTCATTCTGCTGGCAGCGGATATAATTTCGTTCGGCTACAATCAATATGCATTGGCATATATGTGATATAATCTAGAAAGAATCAGATTCCACTGCATTATTAATTTAATCAATATGTATTACCTTATTTTGAATTGGGCGAATGAGGACCCACAAGCGATCTGATGTTCAATTTACTTCGAGAGATAATGAGTTAACTCATTCCTGAGCATATTTTTCTTTCACTTAATTAATGATGTAATTTAATCTATACTAAATTCCGCTTCTCACTGATCTGAAATTCCTCTTCATCCCACCACCGAACGTAAAATACAAAGCAAGGATGTGTACCTGTCCAATAGACATTGTGTATGGACGCGCCTGTATATCTCCAGTACTAAACATCAATAATTATAAACATCAATAATTATATGCACATAATTTACTAGAAACATCGACCCAAGCGACGAACCTCGATTAGAGTGAACGATTAATCTGAAGGCCATGTTCCTAACTTCTTCCTTGAATTGCATGCAGATGGAGCGCGGGACGATTTCCTGTGTAGTTCTAATTATTACTGGTCTGTTTGATTTAATTTCATTTATTTAATGCCTAGCTCAGAAAAGATGGATTTTTTAAACAGAATAGAACGTTTACTCGTCAGAATTGTTAACTCTATTTCTAGTTCTAAATTGTGTTGAGATGTAAAATTACATTTCTTCTCAAATTCACTCAGTTTTGAACTTGATTGAAAACTGTATTAATCCACTGGTTTGATGAGAATAAACATTCACATTTTTGTGAATACGAACATTAGTATTTTTGAAGTTAAATAGTCATAATCATTATAAGTAAATTAGTATATTTAAAAATAAATTTGCATTGCATTGTTTCTCAGGGCGGTTTCCCTGAACGCGACAGAGACACGCATCCCGCTACAGGACGAGAGCGTCTTGCCCGGCAGCTCCATGGCAGACATCGTGCCTCTACAGGTGAGTGCCTCTACAGGTGAGTGCCTCTACAGGTGAGTGCCTCTACAGGTGAGTGCCTCTACAGGTGAGTGCCTCTACAGGTGAGTACTTCTACAGGTGAGTGCCTCTACAAGTGAGTGCCTCTACAAGTGAGTACCTCATGCAGATTCCTAGTGACGGGCTACACGAATATAATAATAAAACATATAAAAAATCTCTCCGAAATAGGTATAAGATAAAGTGTAATTTTTTAACCATAAATTTTCTCCGCAATAATTCCTAGCATTCATCAATCATGTAAATTTTTATGGATTTTGTTTCTACAGGAACCTACGCCGATCGATCAGAATGGCAACACTCCGGTATACTTCTTCCTAGCGCAGATGCTGGCAGCGTATCTTTGCTACATCTTCAGTAAGACTTCAGAATTATTGTCCCGAGAGTAGTTCTTACTTCACAATTATTGTCCCGAGAGCAATTCTTACTTCACAATTATTGTCTCGAGAGTAATTCTTACTTCAGAATTATTGTCCCGAGAGTAATTCTTACTTCAGAATTATTGTCTCGAGAGTTATTCTTACTTCACAATTATTGTCCCGAGAGTAATTCTTACTTCAGAATTATTGTCCCGAGAGTAATTTTAACTAATATTTATTGTCCCGAGTTCAATTTTTATTAAAAATTATTGTCACTGTAATCTGCGACTTCCAAATAGAAATTCCATTGAAAGATTGTAACAGTAGAAGGCATAAAAAAAGTTAAAAAGTTTACGAGTTCGGTAATATACGCTTTACGTGAATTATACATCAGGATAACATTCACTCTGCTAAGCATTCCAAGATTGACATATTTAGTAGTTCAACGCTATAATATGAAATGCTTGAAACATTTTTAGTGATAGAGTTTTCGTTTTATTTACAGCACTCCGCTTAGTATTGTGAGACAAATATAATGCACTTAATCTCATCACCAATCATTTAGCTCCGTGTGTCTGAAACAATTTTTTCCTTTGTCTGTAAAGACACCAGCTGTTATTTTACTCAAAAATTACTCCATAAGATGTGTTCCTCGCAGGTACTCTGATAAATGAGGTCATTACTAAAATAGCGGTGCACTTTTTACGACTATGTTTTCTATATCGCATTCAGCATATTTAAAACTCCTCGGCCTTCATTCTCCCAGGCAAGTTCGTGTGCAAGATTTCGATGCAAGAGTTTAGCTTCTCGCTGCCCGTGACACTGGTGGTGCCCACGACGGTATGCACGTTGATCCTCATGTGTGGAGCTCGCACTGAAAACCCTTGCGCCTACCCTAACGTCTTCGGCTATGTCTTCTGGACCTATGACCAGGGCACCAGCGTCTTTGACTTCTTCGTGGCTGACGTGAGATTTTATATCATAAAATTACTAATTTTTGCAGTGAGATTTTATATCGTAAAATTACTAATTTTTGCAGTGAGATTTTATATCGTAAATGTACCATGATGATCCCAGACTTACTAATTTGAATAATTCGTGTTCTGGTCTTGACTAGATGTCGAGAAATTACAATGAAAATGTGAGAATTGATAACTTGAAATCTTCGAGTTTTGATGTTCATTGGAAGTCTTGAACTCATCATTAAATGTCAGACTCGATAATTTGAACTCATCGTGTTCTAGTCTTGTATTGATGTCTTTAACAATTCGTATCGAAGTTAGTTTGCACGCGAGGATCACATTGTGTTCAATCATATACAAGTGACTTTTTCCATTAGGGCTGTGCTAATGTGTTTACGGATACGATCATAGTCAGTGTACGGCGAATATATTTTATACATTATCTATTGTACCTATTTTATTACTTATTAATGGCGGCCCAAACGAATCGAATTTACAAATTTACTATCGATTAAAGCGCCGCTCTTTTTCATGTTCTGTGGTAGTTTTCATTGCTGTGGTTCCTGTGGCTGCTCTCACAAACATGGATCACACTGCACATTTGGACGCCGAAGCGCGAGCCCCTCGCCAAAACTGAGAAAATGTTTGTTACGCCAATGTACGATTCCCTCTTGATCGACCAAAGCTTGGTTATGAACCGCAGACGAAACGAGCTTGCCAATAAGGATAACAAAAAGATGGCAGCAGATGACAAGGAAGATGTCAAGGTATCAGCGTTAATGGGGGAAATTTTTGTTACTTTACGGTGCTTACATGACCATATGCAAGTAAATGTACTCGTATCATTTGAGATATTGTTTGAGATCAGGCTTAATCGGAAGAATTCAAGCATCGTATGTATTACAGAATTGATATATTTCCATTCTTTTGTGCAGCTTGCACCTGGATTCGCTGCGTTCGATGATATCCAGGAATCAGACCACACCACAAGAATCTATTCCTGCGCCACAATGTGGCATGAAAACTCCGAGGAAATGATGGAGTTCCTCAAAAGCGTCTTGAGGGTTGATGAAGATCAGTCAGCCAGACGCCTTGCAAGGAATTTTCTTAGAATGAAGGACCCTGATTACTACGAATTCGAGAGTGAGTTGTTACGTATCTTTAATTTCGAGAGTGATTTGTTATCTTTAATTTCGAGAGTGAGTTAACTTTAATTTCGAGAGTGAGTTATCTTTAATATCTTCGTATCATTCTTACAACGAGTATAGTTTTCCTTCACATCTGATGTCATTTATAGCTATTAATTAGTGATCTCAAATTATTTTATTCATAAGAACAGCTCACTTACAGCTCATGAGCTGAGATCACTTATATCGTGTGATTATTAATCTCGGAATATATACTCCATATATACAAATGGTCTTCTGATCTTTTTCTGCCTTCTAGTTCTCCAAAAATCAACTTATTGCCTTCACAGCTCACGTGTTTTTCGACGACGCCTTCGAGCTGCCAGATCCTGAGGCAGATTACTGCGTGGTGAACGGGTTCGTGCGAGAGCTGCTAGGATGCATGGATGAAGCGGCCTCCTACATCCACCAGACGATCATGCATCTGCGGCCACCCACTCGGTACCCGACACCCTACGGGGGACGCCTGGTCTGGACCTTGCCTGGAAAAACCAAGTTCATCGTCCATCTCAAAGACAAGCAGAAGATCAGACACAAGAAAAGGTGGAGTCAGGTAAGACGAATTCATGATTTAAGAGAATTTTACGTCGCATGGGTTTTTGTAATTTTGTAATTATATAACCATTAATGGTATCGTAATTTGCTTCTAATTGGATATGTAAATTAGGCATCTCTAAAAACGCCTAGTTTCAGACTTAAACTTAAAGAATTTTAATTTTGTATACCATCTCAAAAAGAAATAGAAGATCGCACATAAAAATACGATGGCCGGGTAAGACGAATGCATATTTTACTTGTTCTTTGCGTCGGAATGTTTGGTATTTTCATCATTTAAAATATTAAGTCTAAATCCATCATCTCTCACTTGTCGAATAGAAAGTTCATCAATTGCCAATATAGTCACATTTGATTATAGTGTTGTCTCATAAAAATTAATAACATATGACTTTATCATAAAGGATTGGTTATGCTCGAATTTTGTGTGGTAAAAATTAACTATTTAATTTCTTCTTGGTAATAGTTGAATGGCTAACAGTCGTTTCTTGTGAAGTTAGAATTCTCTAACGAATGTTAGATTTATCTTTAAAACCAGTAGAGGACTTAAAAAATTAAACGATGAAGTTAACCCGTTACGTTAAAACTTTTATCATGACAGTTCAATAAAAAATTTACATTTTTGTACACGAGAATAACTCAGATTGAAACCTGTGGCTGCCGAAGAAGACATTTTCCTTGATAAACAACAAAATTTCCGTTAGGTTATGTACATGTACTACCTGTTGGGCTTCAAACTCATGGACCAAGATTCGCTTTCGTTGAAACACCTGTGTTTGCCGAAGAAGACATTTTCCTTGATAAACAACAAAATTTCCATTAGGTTATGTACATGTACTACCTGTTGGGCTTCAAACTCATGGACCAAGATTCGCTTTCGCTAAAACGCAAAGAAGTTATCGCCGAGAACACCTACCTACTCGCGCTAGATGGCGACATCGACTTCACGGCAAGGTCCGTCCGCATGCTCGTCGACCTCATGAAGAAGGATACCAACCTCGGGGCTGCCTGTGGCCGCATCCATCCTGTAGGCAGTGGTAAGTCGACTTACATTGTGGGGTTACACTATAATACTGTGGGCAGCACTAAATGGACTTATTGTTTTTATTCAGGCAATATATTAGATAAGTGGACTTACATTGTGGGGTTACACTATAATACAGTGGGCAGCGGTAAGTGGAGTTATTTTTTATTATTCAGGCAATATATTGGATAAGTGGACTTATATTGTTGGGTTACACTCGAATACTGTGGGCAGCGGTAAGTGGAGTTATTTTTTTTTATTCAGGCAATATATTAGATAAGTGGACTTATATTGTTGGGTTACACTCGAATACTGTGAACAGCGGTAAGTGGACTTATTTTGTTTTCTTATGGCAATTTGTTGGATAAATGGACTTATATTGTTGGGCTAAGCTTGAATCCTGTGGGCAAAAGTGAGAGCGGATAAGCTAGAGTCTAATTCAGCTCTTATTTGAATGCAGTTCTAAAATTAACTTACAATGTGGAAGAAAATCAGTAATTTAAAGACATTATGAATGAAGTCCATAGGTAATCTCTAATATTTACCCAGTGAGAAGTTGTGAAAAACGGAAATCAATCATGTACATACTGTTATCTGTACTTCTCCTCGAATTATTTCAATATAAATATAAATTGTAAGTTTGGTACAGCATCTAGCTCTTCTGAATATTTAAACCTCAGACTCCGATAATATATTTAAATTATGACCTATGTATATGTATTCAAAAATATTACAACCCTTATGTTCTGCAACTCTCAATTCCAGGCATGATGGTGTGGTACCAGAAGTTTGAGTACGCTATCGGCCATTGGCTGCAGAAAGCTACAGAGCACATGATTGGCTGCGTGCTCTGCAGCCCGGGGTGCTTCTCACTCTTCAGAGGCCGAGCTCTCATGGACGACAGCGTCATGAGGAAGTACACGACTGTGTCCAACCGAGCCCGCCACTACGTGCAGTACGATCAAGGTTAGCTTGCTCACTATAATTTTTATTAAAATTTATGAATATTCCTCGATCATTAATGTCTTTTTTATTAGTACGTGGAAAGGATTTTACCACTAACGCAATAAGTAAATTATGGACAATGTGTTCTTATTACTCCATAAACACTACGGCAGGATCAATATATTGCTTAACCACGAAAGACTGCATTATTTGCAATTTGAAAATCGTACTAAGTTGAGGCATAACTTTATAAACTGTCCGAAAAGGGTTAAAAAATACCTCAAATTCAGAAATATCAACATGTTCTGTTGTTCCGGGATGAATGTTTTGTCACTGTATGGTCATGACATTCTGGATTAGAATTGGCCATGCTCTATAATTGAATTGCTCTCTAATTCGCCATGCTCCCTAATTGAATTGTTCTTTAATTAAATTACTCTCTAATTCACAGTGCTCTTCAATTGAATTGTTCTATAATTCACCATGCTCACAAATTGACTTGCTCTCACAGAAACTAATGTTTGAAATAAAGCTTTAGCGACATGACTCCCTACTTCTTTATTTGAAGCGAAATTAATTTTTAATCGCTACAGTTCCACCCTACCATCAAAATCACTAAATTCTTCAAGAGTTAAGTATATAACGTAGCATAACACTTGCATCCTGCCCCAAATTTGTGTTATTATTAACGCGAGAAATGTATATCGAATCAAAGCTATACATTTCCATCTTACCCACTAACTCTCGTAATTCTTCACGTTTTCAAAGTGTAACATTTCCACCCTCACCAAACTTGTGTATTCTTTATGTTAAGTATGTGCTTGATACTTAACATAAATACTTCCCCACCCCAATACTTCCACCCTTCCCCAAAATCACGTAATTCTTAAAGTGCCAAGTAAATATATAAGCGTTCAACATTAACCCATATTAGCGTAATATTAACCACATTTCGAACTTAAACACACACAAACATTACTCCAAACTCCAATAGATATTTGCTCTATTGAAGCAAACATCTATTAGATATTATCTATTATCTCTCTAAAAAACTTCCGTCACGCTCCCAACCTCACGTAACTGTATCGCCGGTACAGGGGAGGACCGGTGGCTGTGCACGCTGCTTCTGAAGCGTGGCTACCGAGTCGAGTACTCGGCCGCCTCTGACGCCTACACTCACGCCCCTGAGGGCTTCGGCGAGTTCTACAACCAACGCCGGCGATGGGTGCCTTCAACATTGGCCAATATCATGGATGTTCTTGAAGACTACAAGATCACAGTCAAAATCAACGACAACATTTCCATGCTCTACATTCTTTACCAGGTACAAGGAGTTCAAATGATATTGTACGTAATATATCGTGCTTCCATTTTTGTATTAATTTCTTCATTTTTAGTGCTTGTTCTCAGCTTTTGCAGTTGAGTCCTCGTGATGTTATCAAGAATCCATTTCCAGTCATAACTTTTATTAATCTTCTTAGTCTTTTATCAAGCTCTATCAAGGGCTAACTCACATTACTCACATTCTAATGGCATGAACCAAGAAGCAAGTTTTCAGATGGATAATAGATATGATTTTATAGGCAGATAAAATCTCGACAACTTTATTGTACCAACAAATTGTGGTTAACAAAAAAATCACAACCATGAATAATTTGCAGATGATGCTGATGCTTGGAACAGTCGTGGGCCCCGGGACCATCTTCCTGATGCTGGTGGGTGCCTTGAGCGCCGCTTTCGGCATGAGCAACGGATGGGCACTGGTGCTCAACCTCATCCCCCTTCTGGCCTTCATGATCACCTGCTTCTTCGCCAAGTCCGCGACTCAGGTGAGCAGCCTTCATCCCCCTCCTGGCCTTCATGATCACCTGCTTCTTCGCCAAGTCCGCGACTCAGGTGAGCAGCCTTCATCTCCCTCCTGGCCTTCATGACCACATGCTGATAAAATATTCGAACAAAAGTCACTTTTTTGTCACCACATGATAGTACGAGCTGAATTTAAGCAAAGTTCTCTTAACTCAGTTGTTAATTTAAAAATTCAGAAAAAATTTACATCGGGAATAATTTCTGCCTAGTTAAATTTCATTGTTTCTTATATGTGTTATTCCAAAATGCATAAATTCTCCCATAATTCTCACATTTTATAAGAATATTTTCAGCATTTATTCATGAAATATGTCGCAGATCAAGCTAGCGTACGTGCTGACAGCGATATACGCACTACTCATGTGCGCGGTGGCCGTGGCTCTCGCTCTGAACATCATGGAAGAGGGACTTCTGACTCCTTCATCTCTGTTCCTGTTCGCCACGGCGGCGTCCTTCATAATCACTGCAATGCTGCATCCTCAAGAGTTCTGGTGCCTCCCTACTGGTGCGTTTGGTGAATTTTTCATAACCAATTCATAACCATTTCCAAACTTGCCACTTCTTGGTACAGAGTTCGATATAATTAATAATCTAGATGATTGAACGTGTCACTGGCACAGAGAGTTTGATATAATTATTAGTCTAGATGATTTAACGTGCCACTGGCAGAGAAAGTTCGATATAATTATTAATCTAGATGATTTAGCGTGCCAATCAATTGATGTGTAATACGTTAACAATTTTATGCTATTTTTAAAATATTTGAAAATCCAAATTATTCTGTTCTCGTGATAACTTTGCATTTAGGTAATATGGATTAGCTAATAAAGTAATTCCTTAACAGTTTTCCATTAATAAAGACTTCATTTTATATGATTTATACTGACCTCAAATATTCAAACGTTAATATTTTCTGACACCAATATATACTAATATCTATACACACTGACATCAATATATACTGACACCATAATGTACAGACGCCAGTATATACTGCGCCAAGTTATATACAGACGCAAATATATACTGACGTCGATATATACCTACGTTAAACAATATAAAGACGTAAATAATTTATATAGATTTTAATTAATGCAGAGTTTGCTCATTATTCAGGACTCGTCTACTACCTGGTGGTGCCATCCATGTACCTCCTCCTGCAGATCTACTCCTGCTACAACCTCAACGACGTCTCGTGGGGCACAAGAGATGTTCCTGTCAAGAAATCCAAGGAAGTGGGTCATCTTCAAATATTTATTAAATAATGTTAAATGTAACCTGAAATTATTATTTCATGTAGAACAATATTGTTTAAAATGTTTTCAAATAAGAAACAATAAGATAAAGATGATTCTTCAAAAAATTTGGATTTACCTTCAAATTTGTTTCGTTTGACAAGATCGACAAGGAGCAATGAGGAATTTTAAAAAATTATAGACAGATTTTCCATTAAATGAATCCTGTGTAATGAAAAGTATGTGCTGAATTTATTACTATGACTAAAATTATCTCTAAGGAGCTGGAAAGAGAGAAAAAAGAACTAGAGGAGGCCGAGAAGAAGCAGGCCCAGACAGGCTGGATGGCTTCATTGACTGGCAACGGTCAGGGTGACTCCGGCATGGCTGGCTTTTTCAGGAAGATGTGCTGCTACAAAGGATACATGTCCGAACACATCCTTAGATCTGTCGACAGCCTCAAGAAGCAACTCGACCGCATGGAAGCGTGAGTAAAAATATATTTTATTGAACAAAAACAGGATGTATGGAAAAATGAGTTGAAATATTTGTAAAATAAAAATTTATTTCGGCTTCAACGGTCTCAAGAGGCACAGCGGTCAAAAGAAAGCAGCAACTCGACAGCATGGAAGCGTGAGTTAAAATATATTTTATTGAACAAAAAACTGTATTGAGATATTTGTAAAATAAAAATTTATTTCGGTCTCAAAACGCTACTCGGTCTCAACAGCTACTCGACAGTATGGAAGCGTGAGTTATATATATTTTATTGAACAAAAATAGAATGTATAGAAAACTGAGTTGAAATATTTGCAAAATAAAAATTTATTTCGGCCTCAACGGCTTCAAGAGCCAGAATACATTCGGCCTCAAGCAGAATGCATGATTAAATTGAGTTAAAATGTACGTAAAATTTGTTTTTCTCATTAAATGAGCAAATAGATGAGGTACAAGCAGCTGCGAAGTTAATGGTGCAGAGCAATGTTATAAGGACTGGAACTTGGAATTGCATGGTAGCTCTGTTGAGAGCCAGTAGATGGTAGAAAAATTAAAAGACAGATGCCATTCTCTGAAAACATTGATAAGATTTATCAAAATTTTTAAGTTGAACTTTTTTGAATTAATTGATAGTTCATCTCTAAGAGATAATAGGCATAACCAGTTGTAAATTACTCGATGAATTACGCAATGAATTTGTTATAATATAATTAATAGCAAGCATGACTGATCTTCAACTGTAGTCTTCAGTTAATGAGGTATTACTAATTAAATCGGACACAACTGACGGCTACAAACTAGTGGTAATTTTCAATTTTTGACAGAACCACTAGCTAAGTGGGTTTTGCGGATGCAATTTCCTACCCCTAGCTAGGGCGATTATCAATAAATTATTTTGTCTTAAATGACTCGGGATAATTTTTATATCAGAGTTTTCATAAATTCTATTCTCTTTCGGTGCCGGTGTTTCGTCCCGAACTATTTCGTAGCACATTTAGCTGTTGTACATATATACGTTCCTATACTTTTTCTACATTTTTTATACAAGCTTTTAGCTTAACGTAACTTTCAGTATGTAACGTGCCCTCAAAGTTCTGCAGAAACATAAATAATAATAATGAAAATAATACAAATTATATCCACGACAATAAGAATCAAGAGTCTAATAATAATAATAATAATAATAATAGTAATAATAATAATAAAAATAATAATAATAATAGTAATAATGATAATAATATTAATAATAATCATAACAATAATAGTAATAATAATATCAATAATACAACTAATAACCTTCAGGCACCTCGGCATGGCACCGACCACTCAGCGAAGGCGTTCGACCATGACGCCTCGTGGCAGCAACAGGAGTTCAGACCTGCACGTGGAGACTGTGGCACACGCTGACCCCGTCTACAGTGACGAAGAGAGTCAAGCATCCGGTGACTGATTTACGCTAAAAAAACCTTACCTCGTAATTTATTTTCGACTAATTTTAAGTGACTAGCATTGCCCTTGATTCAAAATATCTTTAAATATTTTTTTACTCTATTAACAAATTTCACGTACATTGTTCATGCATAGATGTCGCATAACTTAATTATAAGTCTGGTATGCACGCTGTTTCAATTAAAAATGCTAAGTTGAGCATACGTTAACTTTGATATTAAATTTATAGCTATTTAATATACTGTGTTAATTTTTATGCCATTTCAAAAATAGGTTTATTTATAGGGTTTTTCCATTCAATGTGGCGTCCTCGGCGAGATGACCATGTCCTTAAAAAAATTGAATAAGATGACAATATCCTTAAAAAAATTTAATATCAGGAATTTCTTGATTACCGTCATTAAACATGTAAGTCAAGTCTTTTGGTTTTCAATAAATTTCACACTGAACAATTTAATAGAAGGAATACAAAAATTTCTGGTTGAACTTCCAAATAGAATGCAGTTGATTCAATATTATAACGTTGGAAATATATAGTCGTATATTTTTCGGTGGCAGTATTCCAGTTAGTTAATTCATAGCGAGAATCACCGATTTTTTTTAAATTCACAAAAAAATATTAAAAATAGCGTCAAGAGTGTCGTTGATATACTATAGGTGTCATTTTTATCCTGGAAATGATTCCACATCGACATTCATTTGAACAGAATACTTTTGCCATAGTAAAACGAATACTTTTGTTTTTATTATACATAAAGAAGAAATTAGCGGAGAGGTTTTCAGGTAAACAAAATAAATCTTCATCCCTATTGACGAAACTGATTGTTTATCAGCAACCAAGGATGAGAGGAACGACTTGATCAATCCATACTGGATGGAAGACAAGAACGTCTTCGGTAAACTGGGCCACAAGGACGCCTCGGGAGGACACACGGATGGGCAGGTGGAGTTCCTGACGAAGCAGGAGGTCACGTTCTGGCAGGACCTCATCGAGCGATACCTCAAGCCCCTCGACAAGAACAAGGACAGCGAGGTATGAAGGTGTATATAGTATTTATGAAGAAGAATGAAGATGAAGGTGTATATAGTATTTATGAAGAAAATGAAGATGAAGGTGTATATAGTATTTATGAAGAAGAATAAAGATGAAGGTGTATATAGTATTTATATATCAGTATACATCGTGCATCGGCATATATGACATTTAAAATATTGATCCCAAAGATCGTGAGATTTTGGCGAAGTGCATATTTAAGAAAAGTAATGATCAAAGTAATGTTCTAAATATATGATAATCATACTTGAATCGAAGGGGTTAATTAGGAGTTTTGATTCGGGAAAGCCATAAGTCATGATTGTACCTACACTTTCTTCCGTTTAAATTAATTTTAATTTCATATTATTACTCTGTACTATTATCATTTTTATTACTACATTCATCTAATAGTTTTCATAAGCTTCTCAGTCGCATTCCACTAAATTCTTCCCTTCCCTCATTTTCCAATTTTAAAAATTTCCTATGTTACTTCATAAAGAGTGAAATAAATCTATATTATTACATTTTTAATAATATCATTTATTTGAAGAGAGAGTTAATAATGGAAGGAGACGGATAAAAAGGCTATGATATACCGGCAAACCATAAAGTGATACAACGATTATCACTTGGTTCGTTAGTCAAAATACGATAAATGAGACTATAAAGTGGTGAATTAATTGGTTACTGCTATAAATAAGTTTAAAAAAATAACAAAGATGGTATCATTAACTGGTAAACCTTTTTGTTATCATTTGTGACATCCATCTCAATAACATATACATTAAACCATTTGCTGGCAAAGAAGTTGCTTAATACTCAGCAAATTATATTCGCCAATCAATCTGAATACCATTAACTCATAAACCACCGTTTTTAATAAATTTTAATGCTGCTCTCGTTTCAGGCAAAGGCGAAACAAGAATTGCTGGACCTGAGGAACATGGCTGTGTTCTCATTTACAATGATCAATGCCATATTCATTGTGATAATTTTCTTGATGCAAGCTAACCAAGACGTCCTGTACGTCAACTGGCCCATCGGTGTCAAAAACAACATCACATACGTCTACAGTGAAGATATGTCCACCCAGGTATTTCATTTACCTGGGATTTTATTAAAAAACAGTTGCACAATATACACAATACGTACACTAACAATTATCTAATCATATCTTAAATTTCATCCATGTCGGGCTTTGCTTCTTACTGAACGTCATGTCCGCATTTTCACTATCATTAGTGAAGACGTTTAACGAAAGAAAATGAATAATATTGTTTGAAAATATAAGCACTTGTATAATAATGAACCCATCCATGCTGTGTTGTGTGTGCCGAACTAACATCTTTTCAATTTGAAATCGCATCTTCTTTTGCAAGTTCACTTCAAAGTTATTATTGAAAAAGCGACAAATTCGCTTAGAATAAAAATTCGGTTTATCAATTATAAATTTTCATAACAAATTAAAAGATGAGGCGATAGATGTATGTTTTGCACACCGCAATACTATAGAATAAAAGTTTGGCTTACGATTTATAAATTTTAATTACCAATTAAAAGATGAGGCGATGGATGTATGTTTTGCAAACCGCGTTACTAAATTTTCGTTACAGATCGAAATCGCGCAAGATTTCGTCCACCTCGAGCCCATTGGGTTCCTGTTCGTGATCTTCTTCGGCTGTGTGATGGCAGTGCAGTTCACGGCGATGCTCTTCCATCGCATTGCCACCTTCTCGCAGATCATTTCCTCCATCGATATATCGTGCGGAAATAAGGTGTGAATAAAACCAATTATACCATTCTAATGGTTTTTAGTTGGTATTGAATTTAAACATTAAAATTATGACAAATTCTTGAGGATTTGTTTGATTTGAAAACGATTTGAGAAACTATTTTGTTTAACTAGGGAAATGGGATATATGGCGGAATTACGTTTTGCTACTTTTGAGAAAATATATTAAGCACAAATACTTTTTCATCATAGTTTTTAGACGTTTCGTTATTCATTTCCCGGTCCGTTTAGAGTGCGCTAATAAACTCTAGCAATATTTCATGCACTTAACAACTGAAGTATCGAAACATATCCAAATTTTAATGAGTTGATAATTTACTGCTTTGATCTGCATACAAAACTCTACTGTTGAGGGCATTTTTTCAGGAAAAGCAACGAATGACGATGGAGGGAAATGTCGAGATGTCCGCAAGCACTGCGGTCAACTACGCCAAAAAATTGCAGAAAATCAGTGATCCTCAAAACTCGGAGGTGATTGGCTTCGATATCTTTGTGGATAATACTTTTAGTTATCAATATTTAAAATTAATTAAGCGAGTGTCATTTTTACCATATAATAAAAAGCTTCAATTGAAAAGCTTCAGACTTTCAACGAAGTAGGTGAGAATCTAAAAACATCAATAATCTTAGTTCATTTAATATACAAGAAATATATTTCCATAATTTATTTCATGAGTTTATTGATAAACTGTTATTTATAATCAAGTCAATTTTGACTTGCTTATAAATACTGGTTATTTTTCGCTGGTTATTTTGCACCAAGTGAATTCCAAACATCTGGTTATTTTTATCCTGTTTCTTAGAATAAATTCCAAATAGCTGGTTATTAATGTCGTGTTATTTAAAATAACTTCCCAACAACTGGTTATTTGCGTAGAAGTTTCCTCGTCAACGACTGTTGCCTCGTTGCCACATCGTGGTGACATTTTCCTCATCATGTTGACAGCAGGTTGGTGAGTCTGTGGCAACGGACTTCTCGAGTCGCCGGCGGACGATGGCGAACATTGCGAGCAGTCGCGCGAAGCCCGCGGTCGTGTCTCTCGACGACGCTTTCCTCAAACGCGTCGGAGGGTCAATGTCGGGCGACCCTAGCAATGAAGAGCGTGAGTTGACAGATGGCTGGTGACACAGTGTTGACAGTTGGGTATTGACACAGAGTTGACAGATGGGAGGTGAAACAGAGTTGACAGATGGTGGTGATACAGAGTTGACAGCTGGATGGTGACACAGAGTTGACAGATGGCTGGTGACACATAGTTGACTGACAGCTGGGTGGTGACACAGAGTTGACAGATGGGAAGTGAAACAGAGTTGACAGATGGGGGGTGAAACAGAGTTGACAGATGGTGGTGACACAGAGTTGACAGCTGGGTATTGACACAGAGTTTACAGATGGGTGGTGACACAGAGTTGACAGCTGGGTATTGACACAGAGTTTACAGATGGGTTGTGAAACAGAGTTGACAGATGGCTGGTGACACAGAGTTTACAGCTGGCTGGTGACACAGAACTGACAGATGGCTGGTGACACAGAGTTGACAGATGGGTATTGACATAGAGTTGACAGATCGCTGGTGACACAGAGTTGACAGATGGCTGGTGACACAGAGTTGACAGCTGAGTGGTGACACAGAGTTCACAGCTGGGTGGTGACAGGGAGTTGACAGCTGGCGATGACAGGGAGTTGACAGATGGGTATTGACACAGAGTTGACAGATGGGGGTGAAACAGAGTTGACAGATGGTGGTGACACAGAGTTGACAGCTGGGTATTGACACAGAGTTTACAGATGGGTGGTGACACAGAGTTGACAGATGGCTGGTGACACAGAGTTGACAGATGGCTGGTGACACAGAGTTAACAGCTGGGTATTGACACAGAGTTGACAGATGGGATTAATAGATTAATAACATTAATAACAGTGATATGGCAGCGTAGTGGTAACAACTATCTTGAGTTTAACAGTCACACCAATTGATAGTATGACAGCTCGACGATGACTTTAAAGGACAAAAGAATTAGTGACTGCTTCATGAAGATGATGTTGATGACGCATTGACAAGTGAATTGATCACTTCACATTTTATCACAACTGAACTGGCAACTTGACGATTGTGGTTTTAGAGTGGACAATTGACGGTTATGACAGCTAAATATACAGTTTGATATGGCAATCGAATTGAGTTGGCACCTTGCTAATATCAATAAACGTGTCTTGACACCCGTAAACTGACAATAAATTATTCCTTTATTACAGTAAGGATAAATTTTTATGATCATACTGATGAGTATGTCTTATGTCAAACAAGAACGGCAAATTCAATGCATGATTGTGCTTCGTGAATCATCTCAATATATAATGAACCTGGTGTAAACACAATCGACCTCGTTCATATGTTTCATTTCATTCTAAATTAGATGCTAAAGCCCTGAAAAACAAATTTTTTCTGTATTTTATTGTCATTCCTATTGGGGCGATATCGAAATCACGTTAAAATATTTATAATAACATTGTTTTAAACTTTGACTAATTATTTATAATAACATTGTTTTAAACTTTGAGTAATTATTTATAATAACATCGCTATAAACTTGAAGTAATTATTTGTACTAACATTGTTTTACACTTACAGTAATTATTTATAATAAATTCGCTTTAAACTTAAAATAATTATTTATAATAACATTGTTATAAATTTACAGTAAACAGAAGGCGCAGCACAGTAATGGCGCTGGTCGAAAGTAACAGGCGGATGTCCATGAGGCGGCCATCATTACGAGTGAGTCTTTTAATAGGATTGTCAGTTGTGGATGGCTGCACGTTTGGTGTTACGTCTCTATGTAGGATTGTCAGTTAAGGATGGCTGCNTCTCTATATAGGATTGTCTGTTATGGATGGCTGCATGTTTGATGTTGCGTCTCTATATAGGATTGTCAGTTATGGATGGTTTCAGGTTTTGGTGTAATGTGTCTGTTTGGGATTGTCTATTTATGATAGCGCTGTATGTGACAATGTAATTTCGAGATAATAAGACAATGATATAATGACAAGAATATCATGCTATTTTTCTGAACCTTGAATTGAAAAGGTCAAATTCAGAATTCTTTTAACATGAATTGTTGTTTATTTTATATATTTTAAAAATAATTTATTGACATTTTTATGTTTGGAAATTACAACTATTGATGACTTGACTTGTATTGAATTTATATCTGTTCTTGTTTCTTAATATTATGATTCACTGCATATTGTTATACTAAGTTTAATCAATTCATTGGGAATTTTACAGGGCATATCCTTCTCCAACGGTACCATCGCTGAAGAATCGTGAAAGTTTAACAAACCAGAAATATTTACCATTTATACTCACATGAATGTTCCAAATTTTACGATATTTAAACGAGTATCTCGACAACACTCATAAGTGCTATTGAAAACTTGATATAATGATTGTGAACTATTATCACAAAATCTTTAAAATAATGACAAAAATACTGGCCAAGAAAATCGCAGGAGTAGAATCAATTTAGTAACTCATAAGAAATAAATTGTGTGATCGGTAAATTATTATAGCAGCTGCAGTGAATCATTTACACATGATTTTTATGATGCAGCCCATTTCTAAAACCTCTGTGCTTTTTAGATTTAAATTATTTTTTTATCAATATTTTTAGATTTAAAATTTTAATTATTTTAATAAAGTCGTATAGGTTTCTTCTTCAAAAATTTTTAAAGGTTTTTAATACTTCTATTGGAATCTTCGGCATGTCACTGCGGATGCCATTGCGCTGCTACACTGAATATATATTATTCTCATTTGCTTCATTAGTTCCTAAGCGAAGATACAATTAACATTTGTGTTAACATTTCTCATGTTTACTCCCAATTAATTTTTGAACATCTGGAAATCATTCGATTAAATTTTTTTTCGCATTCGTGAAATTCGTGAATTATTTGAATTTAAAGAATTGTAAGTGGACAAAAATGTCATTCGCGTGAACTTTTAGTATCATTATCGAATGCAAGTTCATAATACTTGGAATGTAAATATTCAATTTTCTTATTTACTCATTGCTTTTTTTATCTAATATTATAGAGCGAATAAGTTTCTATAGATGCCTATACACCGTTTGCCGTATAGCGAAACTTTACTTTTTAATTAATTACGTTTTACTTAATTCGAGACTTCGCATGTTTAGTTGAACATCATTTCTGCATCATTAGTTGTTTTTGGCTTCATTGTGAATTCTCCCATTTCGTATCACGTTAAGATTAATTTATACATGTAATATTACTTTAATTAATCACATCAATTATAACTTGATAATGCAACTTAATATTTATTGTATTAATATTTCGAATGAATTTTGTGAATGATTCAAAATTCCTTAGGAATTCCAGATAATATGCGATAGAATAAAATTTATACACGACTTTCGAGCTTAAACCCTTACACGGCTTACAGTAATGAAACCCCATGGAATAATAATTTATATTCTAATTCTATAAATCTACATAAGAGTTCCAAATCTTCTGAGAATTTAACTTAAATATTCATTCTGATTTTATGATTTCAATTTAGTACTAATACGAAACAGTTTAAGAAATTGCATTCGGATCTAATCACGAGTTATATTCTGTAAGTAGATTACGTTTTATAATCGAAATTCATTTGTCAACTCCATAAATATTTTGACTGGAGATTAAATTTATGTTAAATATTTGATCTGTTTATTCCATAAATAGATAATCAAGTTTGAACGATGGAATTTGTTAAAAAAATACTCCAATAATTCCGAAAGTAAGAAACCTTGCAAATTTTGAGTCAATGGGCCTATTTCTTCGGCAACAGGCCATGGGCCTATTTCTTCAACGCCGACACTTCTATTCTATTCTTCTATTCTAATGTTTTGTTCCGATGTATTGAAAATCTTTTAGTTCTTGTCTTCTTGTACCTTGAAAACCTCAATACTGCTCTAGCAAATGTTTCTATTGTGCAAATTTATTGTTATAATTTGGATAATTAATTAAAATAACTCCTCAACATAATGTTTGATGGGAATGACAGAAAAACTTGAATTGACCAAAATTCTGTGAAATAAAATAATAAAATATAATTCTAATATTATTTTGAAATTACTGTGTACAGGCCTGGATTAAAAACCAATTAAATAAGTCAACTCAAATCTATTATAATATCTTGAATAATTATACACCGAAGAATGAAATTTACATTTATACACATACTTCATTGAATTTCATTCGGTTGATTGCACTCTGTAAACTTCGTGTTGTGGATCAGCTGAATTTAGAATAGTACACCACACAATCAAAAGTTCTCTAAGAAAACTTTAGAAAATATTTTATGGCTATCTATTTCATTACAAGAATTTATGAGATAAAATCATCACTTTCAATTCAAAGTCCGTAAACCAAAGTCCACACCAGCGAAAGGTTGAAAATTTCAACAATGAGAGCTGTGATAATTCATTCGTCTAAATTACTAGCAGTAATAAGCTTTAACGGAAAAAAGTAGAACAAATGGAATAATAAGCAATTTCAAGCAAATCTATCAAAAATTTATCGCTACCAAGATTCATGAAGAATGCATTTGTAAAGAAGTAGATAACACAGAAATTAAAATGAGCGCGATAATATAGATAATGATGAGGGCTCATTATGATATTTATCAAAACTGGAGGTTTAAGATGTTCTGCCAAATTCTCCTCACTTCATTAAATAATTCCATAGCATGAGCTTAACAATATTATTGGCACCCAAGACATGATTCTCGACATGATTTTCAGTCCAACACTTAACACTTCATTTATTGAATTACCATAGTTTCGGCAATTAATTGGATATTATTTCTTTTAATTTAAACTTCCCTTTACATTACGTAAAAATTGACAGCATTTTGCAAACGTCTTCCATATCTCGTCAACTATTATTTTAAGATACCAGGTGATATCAGACCGCCAGAAAAACGAAAAACTAAAGAATTAGATGCCATAGATAACAGGCTCTCGAGTATTACTACTTCATATTTTTACAATATGTGTTTCCTTATCAATAAATCTGCAGTATTTTTCCTAAAATATCCCAAACAATGCCCGTGCTGAAGGGAAACCCTTGCGATGTAGGCATACTTACATCAATTCGTGTGGCTTCAGAAGGTATAATACCTGAGATATGGACAATAAGCGGACACGCTATCAGTGACAAACCGATTAAATATAGGTCAATATAATAGTATAGGAATCACCGGATGGTCTTTTCGCTCAGAAGGTCTTTTCGAAGACCATGCAAATTTCGGAGGGTCTCTTTGTCACGCTCACCAATGACCGGAAGTTATTTGAAACAAACTTCCCCGTTTGCTATCAATCTAAGCTTTAGGCTGGACGGAGTCGAAACACAATCACAAGTCACAACAGCTAAATTTAATATATTTAAAACAAACAGCACACTGTTAAAGTAACAAATCAGAACGGGAAATCATGACAAAGCGGATGCGAACTAGAGAACTGGTAAATAATAATTGAAAAAAATAAATAAATAAATAATTGCCTACAAGCGACAATTAAATTATATATTCACAAATTTCACTTTATTTACCAATAAATACAAATCCCAGGACCATCACACGCCAAAACTCACCCCGGAGTTTGAATTAATCCGACATGAGAGCAGCTAATAAACCAGCCAGGATCATCGGCTTAACTGACAGCTACCAAAAATTAACGCGTATCTCACAGCAGGTTTCGCTTGATCTTAGCGGTCAAATTCCCAGTAGTAGGAAACTTTAACCTACTATATTACACTATCAGCCATTAAATCTTGTATTATACCACACATGCAACCCACAAACAAGAGCACAAATAACGCTTAATACGGAACACACCAATTGCGTAACATGCTCATCAGTAGCGTTGAACAAACCGTGTCATGTCAAGTTTAAGACTTCCAAGACTTCCTGCTCAAAGGCCATGCTGATGAGCCGCCTTCGTCATCGTCCGTCCAACAGCTTGGAAACAGCTGCGTTTTTTTTAGTCAGGTTCCTGCAATGCACTTAGTGTCATGCAGTGCAAGCTAGGTTACTGCAACATATTTCGTTTGTTCATTGTCAAACATTCAAGTTCCTTCAAAACACGCAATGTGCTACAGTGTCGGTCATTTCTTGCAAAGCATGCATCGCACAGTGCAAGTAAAATTCCTGCAACACGCAGCGTGCGTTGCAAGAACTTTTCTCATACTGAACTGGGACAACGAGACGAGGTTAGAAATGTCCAGGAAAAAAACAAGACGAACGAAATGTGATAGAACAAAGATATTAATCCTGATAATAATTGAGTCACGGAATATGATGTGTTAAAAATATTAAACGATACATGCTATAACAATACGAGACATGCTATAACAATACGAGACATGCTATAACAATACGAGACATGCTATAACAATACGAGACATGCTATAACAATATGAGATATGATCTGAAGACACGAGACACATTAACACGAGACACATTAACACGAGACGAGACACATTACCTCGAGACATATTAACGCGAGACACATTACGCGAGACACATTAACGCGAGACACATTACGCGAGACACATTAACACGAGACGCATTAACGCGAGACACATTAACGCGAGACACATTACCGCGAGACACATTACCGCGAGACACATTAACGCGAGACACATTAACGTGAGTCACATTAACACGAGACACATTAACGCGAGACACATTAACACGAGACACATTAATGCGAGACACATTAACGCGAGACACATTAATGCGAGACACATTACCGCGAGACATATTAACGCGAGACACAGTACCGCGAGACATTAACGCGAGACACATTAACACGAGACACATTAACGCGATACACATTAACGTGAGTCACATTAACGGGAGATACATTAACACGAGACACATTAACGCGAGACACATTAACGTGAGTCACATTAACGCAAGACACATTAACACGAGACACATTAACGCGAGACACATCAACGCGAGACACATTAACGCGAGATACATTAACACGAGACACATTAACACGAGACACGTTAACGCGGGACACATTAACGCGGGTCACATTAACACGAGACACATTAACACGAGACACATTAACGCGAGACACATTAACAAGAGACGAGACACATCAACTCGAGACACATTAACGCGAGATACATTAATACGAGACACATTAACACGAGACACATTAACGCGGGACACAATAACGCGGTCACATTAACACGAGACACATTAACACGAGACACAGTAAACGAGACACATTAACGCGAGACACATTAACGTGAGAGAGACACATTAACTCGAGACGCATTAACACGAGACACATTAACGCAGGACACATTAACGCGATACACATTAACGTGAGTCACATTAACGGGAGATACATTAACACGAGACACATTAACACGAGACACATCAAACGAGACACATTAACGCGAGACACATTAACGTGAGAGAGACACATTAACTCGAGACACATTAACACGAGGCACATTAACGCGAGACACATTAACGTGAGTCAAATTAACGCAAGACACATTAACACGAGACACATTAACGCGAGACACATTAACGCGAGACACATTAACACGAGACACATTAACGCGAGACACATTACCACGAGACACATTAACGCGAGA